ACTAGTCAAATGACTTATCTACTAACAGCATCTACTAGTCAAATGACTGATCTACTAACAGCATCTACTAGTCAAATGACTGATCTACTAACAGCATCTACTAGTCAAATGACTTATCTACTAAAAGCATCTACTAGTCAAATGACTTATCTACTAAAAGCATCTACTAGTCAAATGACTTATCTACTAAAAGCATCTACTAGTCAAATGACTGATCTACTAACAGCATCTACTAGTCAAATGACTTATCTACTAAAAGCATCTACTAGTCAAATGACTTATCTACTAACAGCATCTACTAGTCAAATGACTTATCTACTTACAGCATCTACTAGAAATAATGTTTATTAAATAATAATGCAGCCTTGTGACGTGTGTTTGTAAGTACTGTATTTTACCTGAATTTACCTGAGGGGCCACTGACACTAGTGGGAGCCTCTACGAGGACAGGAAGCCGGCGGCTTGTCGATGGTTCCACCGGCCCAATACATTTGTCGTTGCAATGATTACTGTCAATGTTTTGCTTGTTCCAGACAACTCCCACTGACCCATTAACTATGAAACTACCCATTTGATCCCCCCCCCCTTAAGATTGAATACCATCTTAGACTCAACCGAGAAAATTAATTATCACTAATGAGAATGTTAATTAACGCGTCAGAACTTAAATTATCCATAAAAAAAGCCTAAAAAAATTCTAAAAATGTGTTAAGTGGAAGAAGGACTTAAGGAACACAGCCGACTAGAGGAGAAAATATGGGAAGCGGGAACCAGAAATAATGGGGGAGGAGAGACTGGATAAAAGGAAAAGAACGTTAAGGGGAAGAGCAGGGAAGAGTAATGGGTGGGAGAGATGAACGATGCACTTAAACTCCCCCACCCCCCTTCCCTTTCTCCCCCTCTCCCCCGCCCCGCCGCTTTTACGAGCTCAAAAATTCGAGACAAAATTTTAAATTGAAAAATTAGGCTTCATCTGTAAGGAAATATGATTGGTGTCAGGCTTTTTATAGGCTTTGTTGGTGGTCAGGCTTTGTGGGTTGTCAGGCTTTGTGGGTGTTAGGCTTTGTGGGTGTTAGGCTTTGTGGGCTGTTAGGCTTTGTGGGCTGTTAGGCTTTGTGGGTGTCAGACTTTACAGGTTTCAGACTTTGCAGGTTTCAGACTTTACAGGTTTCAGACTTTCCAGGTTTCAGACTTTACAGGTTTCAGACTTTACAGGTTTCAGACTTTGCAGGTTTCAGACTTTGCAGGTTTCAGACTTTGCAGGTTTCAGACTTTGCAGGTTTCGACAGGTTCCCCACGTGAAGGCCCGGTTCCTGCACATCAAGCAACTGTCATTTTACCGTCAGTCAACAGCCGTCATCTTCCAGCCCATCAGGAAGCGACAACATCTCTGAACCAACAGCATCAGAACTTCTCGCCTCGAGTGGGACTCCAACTTGGGAGTATTTGCGCTCCTACTCGACAAAACTGAAGCTAAACAAGCGAACCAAGACAAAATCTTGAGAGTAACTCCCAGCGTCCTGTGGGGTGGATATTTTTGGCTGAATGTGATGGAAAAGTTCTCACTATACGCGAGTTTAGTTTTCTGAGGCTAATCTTAAGACTGTGAGCTATGTTGTGATGGTGAGGCAGTGAATGGTGTCGAGTACTGACTGTATTTTGTGATTGTGATCAATCTGACCCATCGCCGTTTTCACTGATTGGATTTTTTTCGGTATAAAAAGTCGTAATTTCAAATTTCAAATATGTGTAACGAACCGGAATTCCGCTCAAAAATAACGGTCAAGAGTCGTTTTTCCGACAGGCATCGTATTTTGAAAACTACTGGTCGTTTTGAGCAAACCAACTGCTTATAGTTTGTTCGGTCCAGAGGGAGATCTTCTTGATGGCTTCTACTCTATCTACACAACGGCTATTAGCAATTGAACGTTGCGTAGACAAGTTGAGGTCATTCAGGCGATTGAAGATGTCTGCCGGATAGTAAAGATACAGAAGGATCATTTAGCCTTCAGGGAGAGACCCCTGCATTTTCCTCACTTCATCTGATGCTTCTCAAAAAACTCATCCAAGAATCGGGATATAACTTACGCCTTCTTTGTGATTGCAAAGCCTTGCAAGAGAAGAACTTATCTTTCATTATCCTTGATATACCTAATACGTAATCAGTTGATTGTTCCAAATGTTGTTTCATGCTGGTGGAACTGCCCTTAATCTGCTGACTAACCTGGTCTCAAATGTTGATGCTCTTATCTGTAACTCTTCCCGTGATAACATCATTGGACAGACAGACATCCTCCACCTTCTTAGCTTCCACTGTTCCCTGAACTAGTTCCACCAGTTCCAATTCCTTACAAAATATTAACATGATGAGTGGAATTTTCCACCCCCCCCCCTTATCTATAGCTGCTGTCCACCTGTCCCCAGACGTACGAGTATCACATATACTTCTAAAAATTATTAACACATATTTCCTCAAACCACACACACACGTTCCAACATTTTCCGCACGAAACTTTAACCTCAAAAACAAATATAAAAATCTTTAGAAAAAACCCACATACAAAATTCTCATTATTATCTTTTAATGTAGAGAAATATATATATAGAAAATAACTATGAGTTTGTGCATAAGGGAAGAGGAATTATTAAGACCCGTGGAGTCACCTAGATTACCAGCACGATAAGGGAACAAATGGCAGAATTATGATAATGAGTGGTTGAGTAGATTGTCTGGCCTCTGATTGGTGGAGCGGAGAGGAGTGACCCTGGGAGGGGGGGGGGGATATTTGCGTATAAATGATCCCAGATGGTGGTGGAAAACTAGGAAGTGTGAGCCAGCTAGTGTGAAGAGTGTATCCGGCTAGTGTGAAGGGAGTAACCGGCTAGTGTGGGCCAGCTAGTGTGAAGGGTGTATCCGGCTAGTGTGAAGGGAGTAACCGGTTAGTGTGGCCAGCTAGTGTGAAGGGAGTATCCGGCTAGTGTGGGCCAGCTAGTCTAAATCTCAATTCGTTTTCAAGTTAAGAAATCTAGGGAATCGACAACCTTTTTTTCAATAATTTCATGAGTAGGGAAGGGGAAGTTACTGCTAGGCCCTACCTCTTCTTAATAGGATCAATATAACCTACCCTGGCTAGACTATGATCGTCTCATACCCGAGATCATTCACCGTGCAAAGTTTGGCGATGCTAGCAAGCACCTAGTCTCCAAGTGTGAATTCGGTTCAAAAATAACGCAGGAGGGTTTGGGCAAAATATGACCCATCGCCGTTTTCAGTAATTGGCATATTTTCGGTATAAAAAGTCGGAATTTCAAACTGCAAATATGTGCAGAGAGCCAGAATTTGGCTCCAAAATATGGCTCAGGAGTCGGATTTGGGATATTTTGAAAACTGCAGGGGGGTTTGGGCAAAATATGACCCATCGCCGTTTTCAGTAATTGGCATATTTTCGGTATAAAAAGTCGGAATTTCAAACTGCAAATATGTGCAGAGAGCCAGAATTTGGCTCCAAAATATGGCTCAGTAGTCGGATTTGGGATATTTGGGATATTTTGAAAACTGTAGGGGGGTTTGGGCAAAATGTGACCTATCGCCGTTTTCAGTAATTAGCATATTTTCGGTATAAAAAGTCGTAATTTCAAACTCCAAATAAGTGCAGAGAGCCAGAATTTGGTTCCAAAATATGGCTCAGGAGTCAGATTTGGGATATTTTGAAAACTGCAGGGGGGTTTGGGCAAAATGTGACCCATCGCTGTTTTCAGTAATTGGCATATTTTCGGTATAAAAAGTCGTAATTTCAAACTCCAAATATGTGCAGTGAGTCAGAATTCGGTTGCTCTTTGTCATTTTGTCATTTTTTTGGGTCGCTTCCTTAGTGACGTCTTGTTCTTGAAGCGCCCACTAGCCATTAATAATAATAATAATAATAATAATGCTCACCGCCACACAAAGACCACATACCCCGCCCCACCTCACCCTCCAGATGTTTACCGCGCAAAGAAAACGGCGGGAAAAAAATTTGGCGCCACTTCACATTGTACCGCTCCGTCTATTGTCTCTTATGCCTTTGTTACCCGGTTTCATAATTAAACGCCTTGTCTGTCAATACGAAAACTAACTGGTGTGGAAATGGGATGGTGGATTTATGGAACACATTACCAGTATCACTTGAGGTACAATCGCTGGGTCGTTTCAATTGTAGGTCAGTTATATTTTAGTAGGTTTGGGTAGATATTGTTAAACGATTTGGAGGGTCGTATTCGGGGGAAAATTAGGATTAAGGACCTGCCCGGAACGCTATGCGTGCTAGTGGCTGTACTAGTATGCAAGAAATCTTGTATATATATAAATAAATAAATAAAATATGTAAAATACATAAATGTATGTATTATATGTAAAATAATAAAATAATGGGAGTTAGACAGCTGCTATAAGCTGCTTCATGGATGTGCGTGTGTGGAAAAAAAATTTAGTTGTTTAATTAACAGTTGAGAGGCGGGCCGAAAGAGCCTGAGCTGAACCCCTGCAAGCACAACTAGATGAATACAGACTGCCTGTCCCAAACAAAACATATTATTAACGCAAATTTGAAGGCAAATGGGGGGGGGGGGGAATTCCGACAATCCGCCGCCTAGCTTCCTGTTCTCGTCGAGGCGACTAGTGTTAGTGGCCTGAAGGGTCACTAATGGCACTAGCTCTCAGGTAAATTTAGGTTAAAGCTACAATTTACCAAAATGAAATAATTAAATTTATCGAATAGTTAAGTTTAACTTAAAAGCGTTTCTGCCCGAAACGCTTTGCGTAATAGTGGCTTTAGCCATTGTATGTACTAGCTCTATCTATAAATCCATCAACTTTTGTATTTCACCTTGTATGTATGTTGTTGTTGATTTAGGGGCGATAACCTTGTATGTATGTACTTTACCTGAATAAATATTTGTATTTTGTATTTGTATTTATTTGCGCTTCACAGAAACTGGGAAGACCAACACCGTACCTTAAGCGAGCGGTCGCCGCCATCACAACAACTGATCAGCTGTTGTCGTCAGGAGCCTCTCCTCTCATGTAGAAGCTTAGGACAGCTAAGTAGAAGTCAAGCTGAATACTCCAGGAGACCCGTTAACAGGAAGAGAGGGTTTACGTCGTTGCCTAGGTGTATTAGTCGTCAAAGATAAACGACGTAATTCTGGTTATTACCCGTTATCAACCAGTAACGCTACCGGACGTCACCTGTCACCGCTAACCAGTACACTACTGGATATCACCAGTCACCATCAACCAGTACACTACTGGATATCACCAGTCACCATCAACCAGTACACTACCGGACGTTACCTGTCACCACTAACCAGTACACTACCGGACATAACCTGTCACCACCAACCAGCACTACCGGATATCACCAATCACCACCAACCAGCACACTACTGGACATAACCAGTCACCACCAACCAGCACACTACTGGACATAACCAGTCACCACCAACCAGCACACTACTGGACATAACCAGTCACCACCAACCAGCACACTACCGGACATAACCAGTCACCACCAACCAGCACACTACTGGACATAACCAGTCACCACCAACCAGCACACTACTGGACATAACCAGTCACCACCAACCAGCACACTACCGGACATAACCAGTCACCACCAACCAGCACACTACTGGACATAACCAGTCACCACCAACCAGCACACTACTGGACATAACCAGTCACCACCAACCAGCACACTACTGGACATAACCAGTCACCACCAACCAGCACACTACTGGACATAACCAGTCACCACCAACCAGCACACTACCGGACATAACCAGTCACCACCAACCAGCACACTACTGGACATAACCAGTCACCACCAACCAGCACACTACTGGACATAACCAGTCACCAGCAACCAGTACACTACCGGACATCACCAACAACCAGCACTCTACCAGTACACTACCGGACATCACCAACAACCAGCACTCTACCAGCCCACACGACACCCCCCAACTTACACGATTCCATTTTATAAGAATACCAACAGTTGTGACTGTTGTCACAACTCGTATCAGCCTTTACAAGCCCTCAGGCACAAAGCACATACAGCATAGCAAAGATAGCAAAAAAGCTACAAGGTTAAACCCAGAGTCTTGTTGGCAAATCCAGGCGCTCTGCCGGTAAAATGAACGTTGACTGAAGCAAGAAAAAAGAGGTGTATGAGTATCAAATTTGTAGCCAAAATATTTTTTTAGGTAATTTTTCAGATATGGATAATGGTCTGATTAAGAAGAAAATATTGTATCAAGGAAAAGGAAAAAGCGACTACAATGATGGAACCAAGGTAATTTTTCGTGATTCATGCTTAGTTCACTGCTTAAGAGTATTAATAATTACTAAGTTCACCATATGAACAGAACTGTTCAACTTTATTGATTACATGACTATGTGTTCTCCATTTCAAATTTTTACCTAACCAACCTTTTAAACATTCACAATAGCCTTTATTTTTAGTACTAATATTATATGACCAGACAATCACTAGGGAAGTTATATTGTAAGAGTTGAAAAATTCTTGAAATACTCCAAAGATAAATACTGGTAAACACGTCATCTACATTAAGAACAATGAGAACAAGTGTTATAGCTTGAGATGTTAATGTACAAATAATGTTGAGATGTTACATGAATAGAATTTAAAGTTTGCACAGATCATCTTTGCTATTCATATTCCTTCTCACAATATAAATTTAGTGCAAGTCTTCCCACCGATGCAACGTCCATGGACAAACAAAAGGAACAACTTTACCACTGAGCTCCTGAAAGACTATTCTACTTTTACAGTCAGCACAATTCTCAGATAAAATTTTACAAAGACTTGAATGCATTTTTGTAGAGTACTCAACTACTGATGAGCAAGATGTGCTTATCTACAGATAAATAGTCAATAGTCTATGCACAGAAACATTGGCAGGAAGAGGACTGAAGAACTGCTGACAGGAAAGAACTCACTACTTTTCATGTAACATCTCAACATTATTTGTACATTAACATCTCAAGCTATAACACTTGTTCTCATTGTTCTTAATGTAGATGACGTGTTTACCAGTATTTATCTTTGGAGTATTTCAAGAATTTTCTAGAAAATCAAAATAACATGATATTATTATGCAAAAATCTTTGGAGATCCAAAATGCTGGTTCAAATTACCAGAGTGCTCCCTTATTTCCCATTTTTGGTGACAGGAAGCCTGTTCTTAGGTTTATCGAGGTTTCCCTAGGCTAACCCCTTCACCAGGATGCACCCCACAACAGTAGCCTAAATCCCAGCTACCTATTTTACTACTACTTGAACAGTGGCATTAGGTGAAAGGAAACTTCAGTTAGCAGACTGCTGAGTTGCATTCTGGGGTGAGGTCATCGATAGTTGGCCGGGAGGAGGGGATCATCTCGATAAACTTAAGTGCAGACTTCCTGTCCCTAACTTTGAGAAACCATAAGGTGAACTAAATCTACATTAGAGATACCTACTCGTTTTCAAAATGAGTCAAGATAGAAAAGGTAAAATTTATTTATTGTGTAACTGACTAATTTTAAATTTTTCTAAACCAGGTTACATTCCACATCAAGACCGAAACCTGTGAAGATAGTCCACAACTTATTGATGATAGTCATCGATGGTCAAAACCAGTGGAACTTATTTTGGGCAAAAAATTCAAATTGGAGGTGTTGGAAGCATGCATTCACACAATGATTCTGGGAGAGGTGGCTTCATTCACAATTGACAAATCTGTGAGTTTCTGGGCTTAAGCAGCAGTTTAATGAATGAATGAAACAAAAGAACACTGTAATTTCCTGTGGAAATACTGCATGTGTTTATATTAATTCACTGTACAGTATTTAACTGGTAATGTACACCACGGATGAGAGTCTTACCACAGCATTTATTACACAACCAGCACACTAAATTGTTTTGTTATCAGTCCGTGTTACATCATAGAAAAGCTGAACATTTTGCCCTTGTGCGACTCTTTGATAGTCTCTATAAATATTTAGCTCTGATATGTAAATGTCTAAATGCCTGACAGAATTCCTCTTTTTTTATGTAACTTCATGTATACTTTACTGTACTTTAATATTTAGAATTGTGTTCTCTTTATAGCATTGATATTCAAAATACATTTAGCAAAGCATTTACAGTTACTCCAACCTTAAGGCTAGGAATTCCTTGCTACAGATAGTATATGAAAACTAGTATACACCTATTCCTGCTCTTATGATCAATAAGTACAGTGCAGTGCAGTATATTCATATGTTCATGCAGTATATGCAGTATATTCATATATGTTCCTATTGAAATTTACTACAGATTCTTAGTTTTAAACATTGTCTGTATCACAACATTCAGAAAGAACTTTAAGAATTTGGATCAAAGAATTAAGAAGCTGAATCTTATTATCCTTAAGTTATTGTTCCGTTTGGTAAAACATTATGTACAGTACATGTTGTTTTCTGTTAATTCCAGTTGCTTTCTCCGTATCCACTAGTATCCAAGACCTTACGAGAAGCATATGGTGAAACAAAAGTTGACAAAGAAAAAAAGCCACACCATTGCTGTGGGATGGGATTTAAAGAAGGGCTCGGTTACCAAGATTTAGATGAGCTAGTTAAAACGCCCAAAGATTTGAAATTCACAATTGGTAAGTAAATTGCTTTATATTTATATTAGACATATTGGCAAAATATGCATTCAGTATGCAGAGAGTACAATACACTTATTTGTGGCAGTTGCTTTTCATATGTATGTAGTTTTATTAGCAATTATTAAATTTCCTTGTCTAACTGATTTTTTTAATGTAGAAATACTGTACTGTACTTCTTTTATGAGAAACTTAAATTTAATCATATCATGGAGCACATATCATTTACTGTACCATAATTAGCACATAATAAATATTAATTTCGAAGAAATATATTTTAGGTTGCTGTAAAAAATACTTATTATTGCAGAAAATAAATCACAATAATGTCTGAAAATAATTAACTCATCCCACACGAGAAAAGAGAAGAAAATTAAAGTAGTGACGTCTCAGTCCATCCTGGACCCTTATCAAGTTGTTTCAAGGAAAAATTACTTAAATTCTGATGAATCTTTAAGATTGATTCCAAGGACATTCTTTGATAATGTTTGGATGGGATCTGTCATTCTCATTCAATTTAGTCTGCTATTTTACTACATACATATCACTTGTTAAATCATATACAGGCACAACTTGCTTTCTTTGTCTCTTCAGAATTAGTGAAAGTGGCAGGAGCAGGATCATACGAGAAGGAATTTTGGGCAATGACCGAGAGTGAACGACTTGAGAGTATCCCAGCTCTAAAAGAGCAAGGCAATGCTTTATATAAGGAGAGAAACTACGAAGCTGCCAGCAAGGCGTATTCTGAAGCTCTCGGCAGACTTGAGCAACTCATGTTAAGGTACAACTCATCAGTGTAGTAGGAACATAATGATCTAGGTAGTGTCACGTGGGGGTGGGCGGTCCGGGGCTCTGCTAACACTCGGCTGCTTGGGGCTCAAAAGGCCCAAATACTCATCCCCTCCGACTCCCTGGATTCACCGGAGTCTCCTTGGTCACACAAGATAGGACCAACAATGCCCACCTCCGCAGGTCTTTGCTTCCACCACAAAGGGGTGCCACTGATTCACCCTGGAAGCCCTTCAGTCAACCACGGGGAAACTGCTTTTAACAGTTCCGGCCTAGACCCGTGGGGGAGTGAAGGAAGACTCAGGCTTACCTATAACCATAACCTCCCTGAGTCTTGCCTGCCAGACAAAAAAAAGGTTGCAGGAACTCCTTTCCCGCCTGTCTTCTCTATCTTCCTCTTAGCAAGGTCGCCAGCTGGGTTATTATATCTGCACCCCAGCAATGCAGTTCAGTGGGTGTATCATATATCGTTTGTAGCCAGAAAATGTATGCTCATAGAGAGATATCACAAATGGAGGCACACTCAAACACAGTAATAAAATGTGTGGATTTACTGACGCAAGTTACATGAACACACACACACAATCACAAGTAATACATGAATATGGAATATGGATAATGAGTCTGGAGGTCGTCAGCCTCTTCTTCCACGACCTCCAACACTCCTTCAAATGGGCGGGAAGACAGGAGTCTCACACTCTCACAGGAGGGCCTCTTCACCACGTCGGCACCTCTTCTTCACTGTCCTGCCATCCATACACACTGTCCTCTCTGACAGTCCTGGACACAAGCTGCATTGCAGCCTATTCTACCATTAAAGCAATAAAGTCTTGCTGCCACATACACAAGTAAATATTGTGGCCTAACTAGCCTACTCATACAAGGGGTAATGGGAGGGAAAATGATCTACCTTACACTCCTGGCTCACGACGCCTGTCCCTCGATGGTGTGAGGTTCCCACGCTTCCTTGGGTCGATCCTCGACGATCCAGGGCGTTCCACAGGTCCTCAGGAGTCGTGAAACCTTCGCGTCGTCGCCGTTCCAATCCCTGAGGTTCAGCTGCCCCAATCCTGGTTCATCGATGGGCGCTGAGCTAATCACTATCTTTCCCCCACACTCGCCTTTCCCACAGGGCGTCGCTCCTTGTCCTAGGCACTGTGTCGTCCTTCCAAGATTCTCAGTGGATGTGACCCCAGTCACAGCTGGGCTTGCTCGCCCACCCTTCAGACCTCAACGTCCAGCCAGCGGCGCCGCCCAGCGTCGTCGCCGACTGTTTTCCAAGTTTGGCACTTCTCTGCTCACTGAACTTGGTTCCTCTTTGGCTTCCCAGAAGCGCAGGGTCTCCAATAACTGTGGTGGTCTGCGCAGGCCAGCTCAATCCACTGAACAAGGCTTGCAGAGCCTCCAATCTTTGAGAGCAGACCGACGCGCGTCCTGTCGCTTCCACGGTCAGTACAACTCTGACGTTGGCGCCGCCCGGGGCACTCGGTGACGTCATGGCGGGCCCTGATTTGTCGCCCGCGACCTACGTCGGCCAATCCGCGATCGGCATAGTGTCCCTTCCACAAGGTCATATCTGCCTTAGGGGATACTGTTTCATTTTATAACAGGGCGCCAATTTTCCTTTATTTACAACTTATAATATAACCTCCTTCCATTAAATGGCAGCCGGTTTGGTCGCCACATATATCATTAGACTCCCTGAACCTCAGAGAATCAGTAGGGAGAGCTGATATGACTCTTAAAGCCGGCAAACGAAAGAAATAGGAGAGGGCACCGTAACATACCCCTCCCCTTAAAATAAGAGTCATATCGGAAGAGCAGCACTCAAGAGGGCAACCTATACTCTTGCTCCCTCCGTTCCTGAAGTGTCACTCCTCCAGTTGGTGACGTGGCTCGTACCACTTTGCCAGTCACTTGCCTCATTGTATCTCCACCTCGCATAGTACCGGGTGTGATGGGTGTTCCCTGAACACCTACAAGAAATCCTCTCTCCGTGGCTACGAGTGTACTCCCACGGCTCGTTACCACTGTAAGATTCAGTGCATGCAGCGCCTCCACCGCGTCGTGCACTCCGAGATAGTCTTGCATTTCCATTGCGTCCTACAGGTACTCCATGTTTCCTCCCATGATCTCCTCTTCGCCAATCTTCTCTCTTCTCGGTTCCTCTTCTCCCGTAGGTGCGTTGTCTCCTCACAGTGGCACTTGTAACCTGTACTCCATCCAGCAGCTCCCTCTCTTCCACACTAGGCTTTTGCGATGGCCCAATGCCCCTCTGGTTAGGCTGGCGCCTACCCTGGGTGTACCTATTCCCTGCTTTCTTCGTATTGCCTTTCCTATACCACTCGCTCCTTCGTTCCCGACGAACATCTTCACTCCTCCACGAGATTCTCTTCCCTGCAGACGTCTTCTTCGGTTCGTGGTTGGGCTCATCCACCTCCCTGTGGCCCACCTCACCACGGTGGTTCATCTTGCACCTACCACTATTCATCTGGCCGGCATAGGGTGCACTGCGTCGTGGCTCCTCCACTCTGCCCCTCACTGCCGTTCGCTCATCCACTGAGCTTACTTTATTTACGTTTCTGTATGGAGGGAGTGCGGTCTGCAGCCTCTTCACCGCCCCAGGCGTTTGTACAGCTGCTCCTCGCCACTCCTCCACACGCATCATCAGGCTTAGTCGGAGGTCCCCGTCGGGGTTTTCCACAACCTCCGACGACCTCTCTGCACTCTCGCCCTCGTTGTCGTCGTCTCTGGCGACGTTTTCCCTGGCAAAGTCGGCTTCCTCTCTATCATCTGGAACGACCGATACCTCACCCGGCAGGGTTGTACCGCTGCTTGCAACATAGGCACTCCTGGCCCAATCAGGTTGTATCCTGCCTCCTCCGAGGTCATTACCCAGCACCATCTGTACATGCTCTAGGGGTAACTTAGGGGCTACAGCTACTATAGCTTTCTCGACTCCGCAGTCGGCAATCAGCTGTACTTCGTGAAGTGGCAACCTGTATTCCTCCCCCACACTGCGTATCCTCACCACTCCCACAGGTGAATCATTAAATTCCTTGGGGAGAATACTCCTGGTCACCATACTTATGTCAGCACCCGTATCTCGAAGCACGGCAACCTCCACTGGGTCTGACTTTCCAAACTTCACGTTGGCCCCGAAAACGAAGGGATGTTCACCCAACTTCATTTCCCAACCATTCACGTTGGGTCCACTATAATATGGGGTGTGAACAAACACTCTCTCCTCTTCCAACATTAATCCTACATTCCTTTGGTGCTCCTCACACTCGCGGGCATAATGTCCTCTCACACCACAGTTGTAGCATCGGCTGCCTCCCCTGGGCGGCCACTCGCCAGTCACTCTGGCGGTACCACTTGCAGACGTCCCCTGTGTCCTCCTTGGACTCCCTGTCGTCGTATCCGGGACTGCAGCACTTGCTCCCGAGTTAGGTCCACTGCCCACAGCTTGGGGCTTCCTCCCCGCGTCTCTTGAGCTCTTGAACCACGTTACTTCATCGGGCACACTACTCTTGGGAGAGTCCCCACTCGTCCTCGCTCCTCCTGAACTCCTAAAGTTCCCTCCCGACCTTGGGTAAGGCGAGTGTCTGGGCGGCCCCTCCCTCCTGATATGTAGTGCCTCCTCCAGCATGTCGGCTCGATCCGCCGCAGCCTTCAGGTCCTTAATACCTGCCTCTCTCACCCTTACTCGCAACTCAGGATGGAGCACTGACATAAACTTCTCCATCACTATCAGTCGTTTGATATCATCCACCGACTCCGCTTCCTTCAACCATCGTAGGAATTTCCGTTCCATATCCCTGGCGGTCTCGGCGTAAGTCTTTCCCGACGCCCTTGTACACTCTCTGAACCGCTTCCGGTACATCTCCGGAGTCAGCCGGAATGAGTGGAGAACCGCATTCTTAATCGCGTCATAACTAGTACACTCCTCTAGGTCCAGCATGTTATAGGCTTCCCGGGCCTCTCCAGTCAACCTGCCCTGGACCAGAGCAGCCCAATCATCTTCCGGCCACTCCTTCAGAGTCGCTATCCGTTCAAAGTGTTCGAAGAACGCCTCAGCTTCTTGTGGTTCGAACGTAGGTAAGTCACGTTCCCTTACCTTGAGGTCATCCCGCCGTGCAGGTAGTGAGGGCAGACCACGTTCAACGCGACGCAATTCGACTTCTTTCTTTGCCTTTATCTCCTCCAGTCGCAGTCGTCTCTCTCCTTCTTCTCGCTGCAGCCGAGCTTCTCGCTCCTCTCGCTGCAGCTGCAGCCGTGCTTCTCGCTCCTCTCGCTGCATTTGCGCTTCTCTTTCCTCTCGTCGCAGCTGGGCTTCCAGTTGCATCTTCATTATTTCCAGTTGCAGGCTCCTCTTACTACAGCTGGACCTTCCACTGCTCCCATGTTCACTGTGAATTCTCTCCACACTGGTAGGCGCTTGGGGTGGCCCTAGTCGGGACGGTTCACCTTGCGACGGCTCTCCTCGGGACGGCTCCTCTTGAGATGGCTCCTCTCCCGTCGCTTCCTCTCGAGCTGTGAGCTGTGCCATGATCTCTATCCTTCGCTCCGCTACCTTAGTCGTCCTCAACCTGATCCCAAAGTGGTTTGCCACTTGTTGGAGCTGGGCCTTGGTACACTCTTCCAAAATTCTCTCGTCCCTTGTGTCAATAAATTTCTTTACTTCGTCTTCCTCCATCTCTATATCATTGAGCATACACGACAGCACAGACAAGTTAGTAGGCACTAATTTCACCGTTTCAGTCCCTTAGCTGGTTGAGTAACAGTACCACCGAATTCACTGGCCACACTGTATTAGTACCCTGGCAACACTTGTCTTGCAATTTGGTCCACACTGTAGCTTGATCCACGCTTCCTGGCGAAGTTCCCAGTCCTTGGCTACTGGGGTTCTTATCCTGGCAAGGTCGCCAGTTCTCTTGTCACGTGGGGGTGGGCGGTCCGGGGCTCTGCTAACACTCGGCTGCTTGGGGCTCAAAAGGCCCAAATACTCATCCCCTCCGACTCCCTGGATTCACCGGAGTCTCCTTGGTCACACAAGATAGGACCAACAATGCCCACCTCCGCAGGTCTTTGCTTCCACCACAAAGGGGTGCCACTGATTCACCCTGGAAGCCCTTCAGTCAACCACGGGGAAACTGCTTTTAACAGTTCCGGCCTAGACCCGTGGGGGAGTGAAGGAAGACTCAGGCTTACCTATAACCATAACCTCCCTGAGTCTTGCCTGCCAGACAAAAAAAAGGTTGCAGGAACTCCTTTCCCGCCTGTCTTCTCTATCTTCCTCTTAGCAAGGTCGCCAGCTGGGTTATTATATCTGCACCCCAGCAATGCAGTTCAGTGGGTGTATCATATATCGTTTGTAGCCAGAAAATGTATGCTCATAGAGAGATATCACAAATGGAGGCACACTCAAACACAGTAATAAAATGTGTGGATTTACTGACGCAAGTTACATGAACACACACACACAATCACAAGTAATACATGAATATGGAATATGGATAATGAGTCTGGAGGTCGTCAGCCTCTTCTTCCACGACCTCCAACACTCCTTCAAATGGGCGGGAAGACAGGAGTCTCACACTCTCACAGGAGGGCCTCTTCACCACGTCGGCACCTCTTCTTCACTGTCCTGCCATCCATACACACTGTCCTCTCTGACAGTCCTGGACACAAGCTGCATTGCAGCCTATTCTACCATTAAAGCAATAAAGTCTTGCTGCCACATACACAAGTAAATATTGTGGCCTAACTAGCCTACTCATACAAGGGGTAATGGGAGGGAAAATGATCTACCTTACACTCCTGGCTCACGACGCCTGTCCCTCGATGGTGTGAGGTTCCCACGCTTCCTTGGGTCGATCCTCGACGATCCAGGGCGTTCCACAGGTCCTCAGGAGTCGTGAAACCTTCGCGTCATCGCCGTTCCAATCCCTGAGGTTCAGCTGCCCCAATCCTGGTTCATCGATGGGCGCTGAGCTAATCACTATCTTTCCCCCACACTCGCCTCTCCCACAGGGCGTCGCTCCTTGTCCTAGGCACTGTGTCGTCCTTCCAAGATTCTCAGTGGATGTGACCCCAGTCACAGCTGGGCTTGCTCGCCCACCCTTCAGACCTCAACGTCCAGCCAGCGGCGCCGCCCAGCGTCGTCGCCGACTGTTTTCCAAGTTTGGCACTTCTCTGCTCACTGAACTTGGTTCCTCTTTGGCTTCCCAGAAGCGCAGGGTCTCCAATAACTGTGGTGGTCTGCGCAGGCCAGCTCAATCCACTGAACAAGGCTTGCAGAGCCTCCAATCTTTGAGAGCAGACCGACGCGCGTCCTGTCGCTTCCACGGTCAGTACAACTCTGACGTTGGCGCCGCCCGGGGCACTCGGTGACGTCATGGCGGGCCCTGATTTGTCGCCCGCGACCTACGTCGGCCAATCCGCGATCGGCATAGTGTCCCTTCCACAAGGTCATATCTGCCTTAGGGGATACTGTTTCATTTTATAACAGGGCGCCAATTTTCCTTTATTTACAACTTATAATATAACCTCCTTCCATTAAATGGCAGCCGGTTTGGTCGCCACATATATCATTAGACTCCCTGAACCTCAGAGAATCAGTAGGGAGAGCTGATATGACTCTTAAAGCCGGCAAACGAAAGAAATAGGAGAGGGCACCGTAACAGTAGTAGTCAGGTTTGTTCTTAACTCATAGTTGAGAATTACGGTTTCGAATCGTGGATGGGATAGAAGTGGTTGGGTGCTTTTCCTATCACCTAATGCCCCTGTCCACCTAGCAGTAAATAAGTACCCATGAGTTAGTCAGCTTGTTGTGGGGTTGTATCCTGGAAAAAGTCAGTAATTCGAGATGGGGGGGAGGGGTACTTGATATCAACCTAACATATACTAATTACCTAAGTGTAGTTACAGAATGAGAGCTACGCTTGTGGTGCCCCGTCTTCCCAGTACTCTTTGTCATATAACTCTTTGAAACTAATGATGGTTTTGGCCTCCACCACCACCTTACTTAACTTGTTCCAACCGTCTACCACTCTGTTTGCACAAGAAAACTTTCTAATATTTTGTTGGCACCTTTATGTCCTTGGCTTGAATTTCTGTCCTCTTGTTCTTGAAGTTGATGGTTTCAAGAATTTGTTTTTATATTTATACTAGAGTTCTTACAATCTTGTAAAGCCATTAGCACCCATAGCTTTTCTAGCAATTCCTCTTTTGTCAATTTGGTAGATTCCTATTACTGTATTTAACAACCAGGTACCTAATTACTGATGGGTGAACAAGAACGAACATTTAAGGACTGATGGCTTTTCATTCCTCCTTGGGTCAAGACTTGAACCCTCACCAAATAGCTCACGAGGACCAGGACAAGTGTGTTATCTTGAGGTTATCTTGAGTTCCTTTCTGTGTAGACTGCAGTGTAATTACCTAAGTGTAGTTAGAGGATGAGAGCTACGCTCGTGGTATCCCGTCTTCCCAGCACTCTATGTCATATAACGCTTTGAAACTACTGGCACAGTGTTACCACTGTGGGATTACCTCCTGTGCTCGAATAATTTTTATTAGCTTGTGAACTATTTTTTGTCATGTGCACCACAATGTAGGACTTGTAATTAGCTGAGCTGTCCAGAAAGAAGAAAGCATCTGAAATATGCCAGCTTGTATGACTTACAGTACCTTACTTCATGTAATGTTAAATGCTTATTATTGCCAATATTTATTTGTGAGCCACTATTACGGATAAAGCACATATATATCCACAGAGAGAAACCTAATGATGAAGAATGGTTGAAGCTTAATGAGATGAAGATGCCTCTACTTCTGAACTTCTCTCAATGTCAACTCATACGAGGAGAATACTATGCGGTTATAGAACACTGTACTACAGTTTTGGAGAAAGATCCAGGTAGGTGGTAGTGATAAACTCATTAAGAATTCAGAAGAAAACAAAGATGTACAATATATGAAAAAAATGGAGCTTGATTCAACAGGTCTCCAGATGTGTCAGAGGGATCAAGAATTTGGATAAGCAAGATAATCTAACAATTCTGGTTCCGGTAAAGTTACAAAAATATTTTCATATCAAGGATTGAATTTTGAACCAGCATCCCTCGAGTACTCCATGAGCCAGAGCCCTATGCTCCACCCAGGACACAGTTCACATGCCAAATTCACAAATGACCTACTACCCTACCAAGGTGAGTAATTTTTCAAATGGTCTTGTCGTAATCGGGAGGCTAACCCATCATCACTCTACTGGTTAGTAATTAGCTGCTCCATTGATGGGCCGTCACCAGGTGACAGCAGAGGCCACTACATCAGGATCAGGGGACCTAGCAGCCCTCAGTTATCACTTGACAGTTCACTAAGTCATCACTTGACAGTCCACTCAGTCATACCCAGCTGTGCAGTCGTCACTTTAGTAAAGTTGACTGGTGTCTCAGCACAAGGGGTTCCATGCCTTTGTGTTCTCTTCATGGCAAGGTAACTAGTCTTTTATCTTGGCAAGTGTTGCCTTCAGTGCGGTACAGTTCCTGTTGAATTATGCTACTGCCGCAGGACTTGATCTTGTGCCAGTGCTTGGTGCTGGTCATTTTCTTTTCTTGTTTTGGAGACTGTAAGTCATCTACTTTGCATGATTCTGGGTTTTGTTTGAGGATGTAAATATGGTATTTCTAGAGAGTGCTAGTATATACTATGCCTAATGCCACTAATACGCACAGCGTTTTGGGCAAAAACTGGATACATCAGGCTCCTGTGATAGTCCTGACACACTGGGAACAAGAATCTTTTCAGGACTGCCTTGCCCTCTTCAATAGGGTGGGATGCCTGCAAGGTTCACAGATCAACCCACTAACAAGGTGAACTATCTGCTAGAAATGTGGAAAGTTACAAGACACTTTTTGGTGTTTTCTTCGGCTGAGGCATACTTTTTTAAGGTGGCTTTCTTGTTAGTTCTTTCTTTTAATAGTCATTATTGCAAATTTCATGTTCTCTGCAAGAAAAGGGTTTTGTTCTTTTCATCTTTTGGAAAACTATCTCCTTCTTTAACCTTATTTTTCATTTTTGGTCAAGAATGAGTACTCTGCTTTTTGTAGAGGTCCTCTGGTGGTTTGTTCATTGGGGTGCATCATGTCCTCTGTCCTGTTGCTGTGGTGTGGTGTTAATTGCATGTAACACACACATCCCAAGCTGTTGCATTCTGTGACAATCTCTCTTCCCTGGCATCTAGTTCTAAGGTCAGGCTTTCTCATGTTATCCATCTGGTGATTAAATTCAGTTCCCCTTAAATATATCTTTGTATATAAGTATGCTGTTATTATTGCCTTCTTTGCTAATATGCCTACAACTTACATGTTTAGCTCAAAGATTCTGGTGGTCTAACAGAATGCTGACTGCCTGTTATCTTTTAAATGTAATTATGTCTATGCCTATGTGGCCTATGTCTATGACTAAGTGCCTATGTGGCACTTGGCCACCTTCTCAGTCACTCAGTTCGTCCTTCTCCAAGTCCTGGGTTTCTGCCCTTCTCACTACAGGTCAGGTCAGTCCTCTAGCTTTGTTTTTCTTATTAATTTGTTCCTTAAAACTCAGAGATGGTTGCTTTTCCAAGGTGCTATTATGAGTATACTTTGGGGAACTACTGAAAGCCAGTCCTCATATCAAGTATTGATTGTCAAGAATTTTTTTTTTTTTTTTTTTTTTTTTTTTTTTTTTTAAGCCTCCCAATACCTGCTCTTCTTACCTGTGGGGATCGGGAAGGGAAAGTGGGTGGGATTGGAGGTGGCGCATGAGTAAGAAAATCAGGCAGTTGAGTGACTTGAGCTGCCATCCGGTGATTCACTTGAATATTTGTGCATAGCTTACTGATATTGGGCAAAGTACTAATTCCAATTTCCATATTTTCTGAATATATAATGAATGTTTTGCTCCACCTGTACTTTTTCAATCTTGACCTTTATCTCAAATTCACATGACGCTATGAGCACATGTGATATTGGTCCTCGTGTTTGATGCCTAAATAAGTCCAGAGACCTGCTAGTTTTGTGGATGTGTCTGTGGTACCACCACCAATGTCTTAAGATGCTACCAACACTGCCTAGGAAAGGTCATTTCATTACTTTCAATGCTTAATTATGTGGAACTTTTGTTATGTAGAGTCTTGCCATCAAAGTCTCAGTGGTTCGAGGTGGAGATGGCTGTGCCTTTCTCAGTCACCCCCAGTAGTTAATTATTTGGCTTTTGCTTTTGATAACCAATTATTAGTAAGAGCTTGTTAAGAGCCAATTGTTAATAAAAAATTAATACTAGTAGTTTTAGTATTAAAGTACATTTTTATTATAGTAAATGATTTATTTTTGCTGCTCAGATAATGTGAAAGCGCTCTATCGTCGTGGGCGTGCGTATGTCGAGGTCTTCAGTCCAGCTGAAGCTCGAAAGGACTTGGAAAAGGCTGCCAGGCTGGATGCTACTGTGTCTCCTGGTTGTAGGAAATTACTATCTCAGTTAGCTAATATGGAATCAGAAAAAACTATGCATGACAGGAGTGCATACAAAAAGTTGTTTAGCTCCTCATAATTGATAACAACTTTGTTGTTACTGTATATAAATGCCAAAAGCTTTACATGTTCAGGATATGTAACTGCATCTAACACTTCTTCCATTGGACTTATTCCAATGGACAAAATCACATTTAATTTTGCAGTGTGCTTTGTACCCAGAAGACTTGCAAATATAATGTACATGTCTTTGAATATAAAACGTTTATTTCATAAAATTTCTTCACTAGTGATATTCAGATGTTGTGTACCATCAGTGAACATCAAAGCCACAGTTTCTGCCTATTTAAGACAAATTTTAATGGTAAATCTTAAGAAGCAAGCCTAACAGCTGTCCTTATAGTAAAGTTATTTCATGACCCGATATTTTATTATTATATGACTCGATATTTCAAAGTTTGTGACTCGGCTGTGGCATAAACACCCTCAAAAAGAAGCGTTAAACATTTTAAACAATATCTCCGATTGTTCCAAATATTTTTAACTTATTATAAGGATTAACACATTGCAAAGAGATAAATTAAGGTAATTTTGTAGTAATGAGGTTAAAGCAACAAATAATCATTGTGCACAAATAATCTTTTATTTTAATTACTTTCTCTTGAACGAAGTGTCCGGTTTGGTTGAACAACTTTAAGTCAGCTACTTGGTGGCCTTTTATTTAAGTAAATAGGAAATTCATCTCGATGTAATTTTCTTTTGACACATTAGTTTGTGTGACAGTTTTCACCTACAGATTATGACAAAGTCAGTAAACTCCTTGAAAGAAAAATATGTATTTTATGTATACAGTATATACAGTGTCTTACCTATGATGCTTTGTTCCCAGATGTATGTGCAACATGGAATGATGTCATCTTAATCTTACGTTGTCATCTTAATCTTACGTTATGGAATCATTTCCACCATTTTATGATGTTGTCAAAGACATCCTGTTATGTGATATACATTGTTGGCATAACCTATATAATCTTTGACTCATTACTGAAAATGCTACAGTAAATTAGGTAGGTTATAGTCAAAATTATACCAGATATTGAGTTTATTTCTTATGCCAATCATTGTATTGCTTGATTCTAGTTAGAATTTAAGTAACCCAACCCACACATGAAATGAAAGTGACCTTTGCAAAATCCATTGGAGCAGGATTGGGGAAATCGAACCAGCATCATGGTCAATGCGCGCCATAATCCACGACACTGGTTCAATCCCCGTCCTTCTCCAGTGGTTTTCGCAAAGCTATATCATGCTATTGTGATTTCCTAAGTGTATGGAAAGTGACCTTATATGTGTGTGGGGGTTGGTTATTAGTCTTAGCCATGCTAGTGTAATGTATTCACTGTATATTATAACTATTTGTGTAACATTTGTGCAATGATTAGTTACTAAGTCAAATGTAATTTGTGTGTGCTATTGTATTTCAAGTTACCACATCAACCAAAAAGTATTGCACCAACTTTATGTAATAAATGCTGGGATTATAAATTAATACTGTACTGCCAAATGTTGTAAAACCTGCAAGCATTACAATTACACGCCAGATTTGATATTAACACTCCCAACCCACCCCAAGGTGGGCCTGTCATTTCCTGGGAGCGCACACCCACATTAATGTATGTACTCTTTCCAGATATGACCTCAATTTTTGAGCTACGTCGTTCATTTTGGTGTCAAATTGTTCACAATATAAAGGCGCACATTTTAAAACTAGTACCATAATAGCCAATAGTAAATGGAATTTTAACAAATATTTTCATTTTGGTTGCTCATCACCACAAGTATTTATAATCTTTCCAGTGTTCTGACCTCAATTGTCGTGCTACATCATTCATTTTGGTTTCAAATTGTTCACAATCTAAAGGCGCACATTTTAATACTAGTATGATAATGATCGGATAAAAAATATAATTTTAACAAATATTTTAAATTTTGACGCATCATGCTCGCCAGCGGTCATCCGTCAATTTATTTATGTCGCAGACTGCATCGCCGCCGGACGATGATGCTGCTGCTTTTTTTTTTTATAATTCTTCATGTGCCATTGATCAGTGTTCTTTACAACTATGTGATCACCTATTGCCCTATTTTTGTAAAGTAATTGTAGAAATAGAAAATCGCACGGTACATATAAATGGTTCAGTTATGCACCGGACATAATTCAGATTCTATTAATATAGAAAGGAGATATTATACCATTGACACTTGATGCCAAGTGTCTTCATTTGTCACTTAGGTTTGCAACACAAGCCAAAATATACAAGTTGCAAATACTGTAACAGTGAAGGGTTCTTGAGGTTATCTTGAGATAATTTCGGGGCTTTAGTGTCCCCGTGGCCCGGTCCTCGACCAGGCCTCCACCCCCAGGAAGCAGCCCGTGACAGCTGACTAACACCCAGGTACCTATTTTACTGCTAGGTAACAGGGGCATTGGGTGAAAGAAACTCTGCCAATTGTTTCTCGCCGGTGCCCAGGATCGAACCTGGGACCACAGGATCACAAGTCCAGCGTGCTGTCCGCTTGCAGTGACACGTGGGAGGCGATCTGGCCAGAGAGCGGGCCCTGGGAATAGTGATCTTCGGAACCATCTCAAAGTAACCTTTCAATAAATTTATTATTAGATGTGCATGTACATTACATTTAACTGTGCCAATTGATTAGTTTCCTATTCATAGTCAATATATTTATTGTGTTTGTATAGTTTAGATATTTATGTGTTTGAAAGCTGATTTTCAGAATATTTGTATAGTCATATAATGTCTATTGTATCGCAGTATATAAGATTCAAAGATTATTCATTAAAAGTTATTTAATTATTTTTTGTTTAAACATTCCCTCATAGTTCATTTGGATCATCGGAGTTATTACAAAATAATTAAAATTATTTATATAAATGTACATTACTAATAACTTAAAGCAGTAGTTAGTTGTTATAATGAACAAATGAATACAGTAATTTGTTTTATCCTAAATAGAGTAATGTATATAAGGTACGATATTGTAATGAAAGGTGGATATGAAAAGTGTGACTGCTTGATACCTGGTTGATGGGGTTCTGGGAGTTGTTCTACCCCCCAAGCCCGGCCCGAGGCCAGGCTTGACTTGAGAGAGTTTGGTCCACCAGGCTGTTGCTTGGAGCGGCCCACATACTCACCACAGCCCGGGTGGTCCAGCACGTTTTTTAAAAAAGTCTAGTTTTATCTTGAAGATGCGATTGTAGAGAGCGCACCAGGTTGGTATGGTAATGTTGACTGCAGTGATGATGTAGTGAAGGATGTAAGGTGCACTTGAGAGTAGAAGTGAAAGGCCAACATGGGATATATTGTGAAATGTATGCCTGTTACACTTTATAATGATTTTGTTCATGTCTCTTGTATGTAAAGATGAGATAATTTATTGTTGTGATGTTACTAGTTTCCCATAATGCTCGACCCCAGGGTGCCTGACAGGTGGGTGGACAGCGCTTCGGATTCGTAGTCCTGAGGTTCCGAGTTCGATCCCTGGTGGAGGCGGATAGAAATGGGCAAAATGCTTCTTTCACCCTGATGCCCCTGTTACCTAGCAGTAAATAGGTACCTGGGCATTACACAGCTGCTACGGGCTGCTTCCTGGGGGGTGGAGGCCTGGTTGAGGACCGGGCCGCGGGGACACTAAGCGCCAAAATCATCTCAAGATAACCCCTCTGGGCAAATCTAAACAATGACAATGTAATACAGGTATTGTTACATTATCATCTACTCTCAAGTTGTGTCATGGAGAGGCCTTTCCAGACCGGCAACCAGAGTGCAACTCCATAGTCTCCCGAGACTGATGGATGTCTACTAACATTATCAACACTGAAACAATGTTCATTTAAGGTTACTTGAGCATATTTTGTCTGCTAGGACTATTAAGGGATAATGGAGAAAAGGATTGAGGGAGAGACGAGAGTAAGAGTGGATGGGGCAATGGAAGTGAATCCACTGTCTCTTCTTCATCTAGACAAGAGTAAGAAAATTGCAGAAAGTCTATTGTCCCATGCAAAACAACTATTTATATTTAAGCACACCAACTTGTATGTCTAACCTGCACTTGAAACAATTCAGCACTTTTGTTTATGTAGCCCAGTAATCTGATCTAGAATTCAACAACTCTGATTTCCAAATGAGTATTTACCAAGTTCTTTCCTGAATCTAATCTTAATAAATTGTTTTCTGTCTTTTATATTTAGCATCTTATTAATATCTCCCAACCATTTGACGACTGATCGGCACAGTGACGACCTCGCGTCTTGCAGGTCGGCACAGTGACGACCTCGCTTCTTGCAGGTCGGCACAGTGACGACCTCGTTTCTTGCAGGTCGGCATTCACTTCTGATGGTCGAAGTGGTTGATAACCATTCCTTCCCAGGGCTATATAATCATACTGGCTTTTTGCCTTCTCCTGATGATTACCTTACCTCCCTTTTGAAAGAACTATAGCATCAATACAAAACAGAACCGATGTAAACAGGTAAAATTAACACAAGCACCAGTTTACTTCCGTTTTTATTACAACCTCTGCAGATATATACTGGTGTATACATCTCCAGAGATTTACAATTTTATAAGGGCTTAAAAAATGTTTTAATTACCAATAAAACTTGTTTTTATTTACACGTGAAGCATGATTTATTTATGGATTTTATAAGCAACATATGTAACAATAGAAAGGTGGCATTTTACAGGCCTACAACTATAATATAGTCATATGATTATCAAGATACTCTGGACTTGTCCTTCTTGTTTACCTTCTTGCCAGTCTTCTTCCGTTGTCCCTGGTGTCTTATCACCTTCTTCTGTTTGGCTGCTATTATTTCATTGTACTTACGCTTTTGGTAACTGCAAAACAGAGAAATAATTACAAAATAAGTGGAGCAAAGAAAAGAAGGAGGGAGCGAAGAGTCAAGATAAAATAAAAAACAAAAATAGGCAGGATGGGAGGAGAGCATTGGAAGACAGCAGTAGGACGGGAAAGGAATAAACTGGGAGTAGGAGGAATTAGAGTTTAAACAAGGTAAAATAGGTGGTGATAGTGGGACAGGGGAAGAGAGGAGCTAGGGAGGGCATACATAGACATGTACAGAAAACAATAGGGTGATGATTGTTAAGAGAGAGCAGGAAAAAAAGGGGAAAAGGAAACAATGTAGGGAAGAAAAAGGGACAAGAGAGATGTGGTAGAGACATACAAGAGGAACAGAAGGCAACAGGTGAGAAGTGAAGTGGTGAAACAAGCTTAATATGTCCTTCAGCTCAACTAGTAATACAACATGTAAAATGTTCTGTTCTTACCGCAGAGATTCCTCGTCGTGAATAATTTCTTCTGCTAAGGTTCGTTTGCGATCTTTCTTCAAAACACGGGAGGAATAGAATTCAACTGGATTATCAACCACACGTCCCAACTGGAAATACTTGGGCAGTACCTAGAGAGAAAGGTCATCTTAGATTTATACTTGCAGTAGGAAAATTAATTTGATACCGTGCAAATTTTGACATTTCATAAAAAAAAAATTTACCATCCTTACAGAAAAAATGCTCATCAAACAATCAACAGAGAATTAATTCCTTAAAAACCTGTCCATAAAGGCAGGAAGTCAAGCTCAGATGTCAAATTTTTCCAGTAAATAAAGGGATGAGCAGGGTACAGTATATTTATTCAATGGACAGATTACCATTAGACCTTGATCTGGTCTGTCTCCTGTATGTATTTGTAGATAATTCCAAGAATTCTTCAACTTCCCAAGCCTGGCCTGGGGCCAGGTTTACCTTGTGATAACTTTAACGATCCAGTTGTTGCTTGGAGCAGCCCGCAAGCCCACATATCAATTATAATATTAGCTGGTCCTGCAGGAACTTGTCAAAATTGTTTCTTGACCACCACTGGTGTTCCAACAATATTTCTCACATTTCAAGAACCATGGACCTCTGATATTCATTGATTGTGATACACTTACATGCAAATACTATTCAAACCATTCAAACCCACCTTCATATCACTGTTTTTGTAATGTCTCTTGGGATCAAGGACTGAGCGCATCTGTAGCACCTCCAGGTCTCGCTTGACTTCCTCAGTCAATTCAGGAGCTTTCATGTCAAACCAGCCAGGGCCCTTTGTCTTCTCACTTTCTCGCTGTAAGGTCAAATATAAATTAAATTTTAATAAATAAAATCTCAAGGACTGACCTTAAAAATGTAAATAAAATCAAAAGGACTGAGCTCAAAAATGTATTTGCCATTTAAAAATTCCTAGTGCAAAATTTCAGTACAGTTAAATAAGAGATTTTCTCATGAAATGAGTTGCTGTCACATCACTACCCAACCTGCCCTCTTACTCAACACACTATTTTTATGTTAGCATCCCACCGCAACAATTATAGTAACTTGGGAAATAAAAAGATACTTGCCTAATGATTCCTAAACCATTTAAATTATGTATTATAACTAACATTATTTACCACTTTATTGCAGTATGTGTACATACCTTTTGATGACTATAAATTCAAGAAGGCTCAGTCATTTTTCAACTAAAAGGTTCAAAGGTTTAACAGTATTGAGACATGAATTGGCATGTTTTTCAATTTAACATATTTCGAACCTTCAAGCTAAGACAATAAACATCAACAGCATTTGTTATTTTTATCCTTATTAGCATCATCAAAACTATGCAGTAGAGTAGGGAAACTTTACAAATGTGGGTGGTTAGTCCAGCCAGTCTTATCATGAGTTGTACAAGTTGTTACGGATTAACTTTGTGATTCTGATAATGACAATGTCTACGTGCTATGTTGTTATTGTCACTCTTGTGTAATTAATGTACTGTACTTTTTATGTAAACTTTCCCAATTATAAATGTACTACCATTTATGACTAATGTCTTTGATTGGTAGTTCAGGTAGGGAATGAATGAGATGTGTAGGACAGTTGAAAGAGAATGTAACTAATAATACCCATTGTTGGGGACATGGAGCCAATTAGGCTTACTGAGGTTCCCCCAAGGTCAACTACTGGCCTTCCCCAGGATGCAACCCACAACAGCTGGCTAACCCTAGTACAGTACCTATTTTACTACTACGTAAAGAGAGGCTTCAGGTGAAAGGAAATGTGCACAACCGTTTCTGTTCCACTAGAGTATTGAACCGGGTGTATATTGGGTCTTGCATATATAATAAAATACCTTGCTAGTCAGTAGGAATACCCTCAGCTGGACATTACTTAATATTATTCAAAATTTACTGTGACAAAGAAATAGCATATTGAAAAGTGACCGACTTCCTGTTTAATGCAAATCTGTTACAAAAGCGGTGTTCAATAGGCGATCCAGACCCCTGAATGTACCAACATTGTATGTAACATGTTCAACAGAATTCTTTACATATGCAATTGCTTTGTATTTATGCCGAGATAATTAATATTACCGTATTGTACTTAAGATACATTGTTTACCAATACTGTATTGCAATTCTATTTTTTAAGCCACTAGGTAATGTTTCTTGTAATGTATTAGGGTACATGGCCTTGTTAAACAAGGCCTTTTAATATACTAAATATAATATCAATTTAACCATCTTTTAAATTTTCTGCTGTATGCTGTGTCAATATATTTAACCCCCTAACTGTTTGCTATATATTATTCAATACATGTAAAATATGTAAGACATTTACAGCAGTACATCTGTTCAGTCTAGCCAGAATTGCAATGATTTATATAAATTTGTTGCAAAAAAACTTTGATCCTGTGTGTTAGAAATCAGGGTGAATGGAGAAGTGCCAAAACCCATTTCCCAGTTAAAAAGGCTGGCATGTGTGACTGACACAAGGAATATGTGCAATTGAGGGAAGATCACAGGCAGGTTGTGGGATTTAGAAAGCTACGTGATGCGATACATATTTAAATGTATTTAAATATTATGCTCACATATGCTCTAGTGTATAACATTTGTATTCTCTCATAATATGAAGTCAAATATTTTAATGGCAGGTTATATAATCCCTCTATGTAATGCATTTTGTCACATTATATTTATTCAGCATTCACTTGCCAATGGGCCTGCAAAATGTACGAGTTATGGAATGAAAGCTGTTGGTGCAAGGAATACCTTGGTTTGGAAGAACATGACAGGAAAGGATAGGGATTCATGTAATAAAGGACGTGTGATCATTTTTGTAACTCGCATAGTTAAAGAGTAACATACTTTGCGTTGCTCCTTAGCCTTTTTCTTCCCAATAAAGTATGGAGAGAGATGAGTTTTTTGCATAAACTCTGGCTTCAACACAGCAGATGTCTCGAGTATCTTCTCAACACTCTTGTCTTGATGGCTCTTCACACTTTCACTTTCTTCCAATTCTAACTGGTCAGTTGGTTGGTACCTGAATGGATATATAATTTTGTTAAATATTTCTGGATTACACAAGTGTTCTATTTTTGTATGTTTCTGCACACATTTCTTTCTTCACCTCTATAAAAACATTGTTTTTCCACCTCTCTAACATCTTTCCTAATGCAGCACTGGTTGAGGGAAAATTATTCAATATTAACTTATGGAAGACACAAAGTATGGACACCATGAAGAATACATAAGTAGGTCAACCAGGTGTGTAGTTTGGGCACGTCAACCAGGAGGCCTGGTCAACGACCAGGCCAGGGGGACGCTAAGCCCCGGAAGCACCTCAACGTAACCTCAAGGTAGGTAAAAATCTAGTCAGATCCCAGGAATACTGCCCTAGACCCCAAGTCTGAAGGAGGACCCAATTACAACACTTATGTTCAGAGCATAGTTTTGTCTGTCAACCACAGGCTGGGTTTTGAAACAGGCAAAGGCTTATTTTGTAAAGTTCATTACATAGGATTTAGAACATACCTTGTTTAATAAGATCATCAAACAAAATTTGCTTAGACCCCCCCACCAACCCTAGCACTTACACAATGCTGGGTGAAGCACACAGAAATTCACTCTGGGTTGATCATTTAGGAGTTGGCCATAGACACCTGGGAAGCCAGAACTTAAACTCACCTATTCTTAAATCTTGGGAAAATCATATCTTTTTCTGGTGTAATATTTTGTTCTGAAGCAAGTGGTTTGATTTTCACTTGCTGAACAGATAATGCAATCTTGTGACCAATTAAAATTTGCAATACATGCTCCCATTCACTTCCATCTTCCTTTGGAGCATCAGTGTTACCTGCAAAACAAGAAAATATCAATGAATATGCCTAAGCAGCCATTTGTTTTGTGCTTATCTGCAACACCATAATCAATCAAATTAGACAGCTTTAAGAGGACCTAAATTTATCACCAATTTTAAATACTTTCAGAAAACTACAATAAAATTATTAACATTCCAGCCTAATCACTGTATACCTGCAAATTTTAAATCGTTATTCATGATTTATGTGTTAGTTTTCTAAACTATTTATTAACTTTAAGCAAAAACTAATTCACGTGTTAACCACTGTCACGTGCAAGAAAACACTTTTCTAAATATCCTGCCATGATATATTCCTTTCTGGGGTATCTAACTCAGTTGCTTCATTAAACAAGATCTGCTTCTATAACAGCATTACAAACAGATGTAGGCCAACCTGGCCTCTTACAAATTATGTCTGAATATGGCCGTTTGCTCGTATGGCCAAAAATGGACATAGTACAAGTAATTTGAAAATGGAAAAAAATTGTGGGGCTGCATGTTTTTCTTTGCATTCTTGCAGGATGGCTCTGCTCAGACCAGAGAACACTGTTATGAGTGAGCTGCTGCCTGGTGGTGGTCTGGGTAAGTGGATGGATGGATGGATAGACCTACTGGTAGTTAGTATGAGTGCTTCATTGACAATCACTTGTGATATCAAGGATGGCTGTGAAGGGCTCTTGAGTTTATATGAATCAACCTTCTGAATGACTTTCCAAACTTAATTTGGGGGTAGAAGTAGCCTAAGCTACTCTATCCCTTTGAGATGTATTTTTTTTCTTGTCTCAATAAACTTACTTGAACTTGAGCTTGATTTGAGGATGCTACAATGCTCTCCATTACCCTGTAGGGATTGTTTAAAAGAGCTCCCTGCAACTTTGATGCTAGAATATCATTCTGCCTGACTATTCAAGATCTAGTCCTGCCGACAGCAGATCTTACCCTAACCCCTGAACTGTACAGCTATTTCAAAGTATTACATTGAGAGGTGCATGACTAAATATAGTTAACAAATCAAACAGGGAAAATAGAGTATGGTAATTAAAGCACAGGAGGAAATCTCATACTGCAGTTGGAGCAGCATAAAGGGTTACAGAACAATTGAGTGACGTGCTAAGAAAAAACTTTACATACATATTCAATACCATATTTTTTCGCAATATTTCTGGTAATATAAAACATTCTTTCTTAATGTATTTACTATAGACATAACATTAAACTATAACTCTTCCTTACCTTTACTGATTTGTTTCTCCATACTGTTAATGCTTAAGAAGAACCTCTTGCGAGCCTCGTCAGCAGATTTTGAAAGTATCAGTTCCTCTTTGTACAGAGTGGCTAGAGCTGGCTTACACACACACGCAACTTCTTCTGAATCTTCATCCCTCAGATTTTCAATCAGAATGCTCTTGTTTTCATCATCAGAAACTGATGTAGCCACCTGAGGAAAAATAGCAAGGCTGTGATTCTGGAGGCTATTTATTGTCCCAGGGTTGCCCTATTTCACAGGAATAAACCCAGATTGTGATTCTAGAGCAGAGATTGTCAACTGGGATTCCATGGAACACCGTAAGGTAACTAGGGGGTTTCACAAGAGATGGTGATAAACAGGCTACTTCTAATTATTGTACATGTAATTTTTTTGAGACATTTTTATGTTGAATTTTTCTCATTTAACCAGTATCAAGAGCAAAGACAGAAATTGTTTCCCTTCAATTGACATTTAAAGCTGTGTGTGTTTATCTAAAATGCGACTCGGAATTATTTCAAGGGTATAAAGGTTGAGAAACGCTGTTCTGGAGACTATTTTATACACCAACGTTGCCTTATTCCACGAGATTAAACCCTTATGTACTTCTAAAATTTATAACAGTTTAACAATCATATTTGGAAGTAATGAATGTGGAGGATTTTCCCGGAGAATCATGACTGCTGCATAGAAGTGAATGTTATAAGCAAGAACAGCAGAGGCACCGGCCTTCTGAGTTGTGAATGCATTGCTTGTCTGAATAGTAACTAGAGGAGTTAAGAAAATAACTGAGAAATTGATGAGCGAGGAGCAAAGTGGATTTTGTTTGGAGAAGAAATTCTGATGATCAGATATTTGCAGTAAGACAACTTGTAGAGTAAACATAACAAAAAGAAATTACTCGTGAACTTTACAGCACCAAAGAACCAATCACATATATAATAAAGATGAAGTATGGAGGCCTTGAAAATATATGTGGAATTGCGGAAATCCTGTGCAAGACTTTTTGGTGCATTGTTCCCATAGTTGTTCATTGTATGTATTGGTAGGATGATGATAATACATTTTCATAGTAAACATGTTTCCCTATTCTAGCAGGCATGCTTAAGTGGCTGAATAAAGTGTCTACTTTGCAATAGGCACAGTTTATTAGAGGTAGTTAAAATATACAGTTAAGTGTAAGACCATACCGTCCACTACCTGATACAGCATTGAATTTAATAGTAGAGGCACCTGCTATTGCCAGGCTGAAGAGCAGAGGCCACTTCTTCACTACACCTGATCTCCATCATTAATATATTCTCTATGGCACTGGAGGAATAACCAACCAACCCCATGCAAAACTAACAACAGGATTTTCCTCTTATACCTCCACTAGACAATGCAGAGAATCACAAGCACATGCACAACCGAGACCCAGGTTGATACACAGCAAGTGGGCAGAGCAACCTCAGCAGGACCGATGGCAACACTCGGCAGACACGCAAGGGTCAGAACAAACCTTCATCCCAAATGAACAGTGGAGCCAAAAGGGGCAGTAAAATGAGGAAAAGTACCTGCATCATCCAAGAACAAAAGAATGTATATTGCAAACTTATTCTTTTGAATAAGTTTGCAATATACATTCTTTTGGGAAGAACACAAACTGACTAATAAACTGCCCATCTCAGCAACAAAGGCTCAAGAACTGAGCAGTAAACAGTCAGCCTGGTGCTTTATCATGCTCAATAAGTAAACTGGATATAAAAGCATAAGAACTAAGTATGAAGCAGTCAATCCAGAATGTTAAAAGTGCACCAAGGGGTGTACAAGTCAGCATGAGCATGGGGAACTGAGCACGAAGCAAGCAACCCAATACATGGACATTCTAGTCACTGGAGGCACAAGAATCAAGCCCACAGTTTGACATTCAAGACGCACAAAGAGGCACACACTGTTTTGGGGATGACTACATGGGGATGACTCTGTCGTACTGACCTGTGACAGACACGAGCAGATAACCTAGACTCCACCCACTGAAATTAGAACTTGCAATATAGAAAACTACAACCAGCCTATAGAGAAAACACAGGAGCCAAGCTTACTATTCCAACTCGAACCCCAAGACTGGAACCCACCAGCAAAAGGTATGTACTCTGTGTACGCTAACTAAACCCACAAAAAAAAGGCGAGGACAACCATAGGTTGAAAACAAAATATAAGAGCCACAGTCACAGACTCAACAGTATATGAACCACCAACAGGCAGCCTGGACCCATGGTGAAGCCCTGAGGCACAGTCAAGGTAGTAGTACAACTCAAAAGGAACTGCACCACACTGAAGGCTGTCTGGCCACAAGTGAGAAATGTCTGTTCCTCCAACTTTGTTCAACATATCATAATTCAATATTTTGAGTCCTTCCAGGAATTAAACTCTCATATCATAGGCCGGATATATATACTGTACAGTATTTAATATTACCTCTTCAAGTAGCTCCCTAATAGTTATATTGAGCTCCCTGAATATGTGGGCATGGTTGGCTTCTAGCTCTTTCTCTGCTCTTGTGTAGAGTCCTCCAGTCTTCAAGGGATCACCATGGCGCTTCTCAAACTGAATATATGCTAACCACACTCCTGTATTAAAAAATACAGAACCTTTACATTTTAAAATTTGCATAAAATATTGTACAGGTAAATAACACGTGCACCACAAAATATAGAGCTTTTTGCCCTGTCATTTATCACAAATGATGGTTTTGCCCACTCCATGCTTCAAAGAGAAGATTTTCTTCAAAACAGTAATGACTGCCACACATTAAAGTAAATAAAACAATGGCAGACCAAATGCATAGCCACCTTATAGTGTATAAAATGTCTGCTTTATCAAAGTTCACTTTATAGTTACTCTACTTAATTATATTGTCACTTGTTTAAGTTTACACCAAATTATAGAAACACTGACAAAATGGTTTGACGCACGCAAACACCATTAAGTCAACATTATGCGTTTACCTGGGTGTGTTGTTCCATGTTGTTGCAGAGCATTATTAAATACTTGTCTGACCTCCTCAGCATCTATAGTGATCTCTGCCAGTTCAAACTCAACCATCATAGCATGAAGTCTAGCAGTAAATGGTGGTCTCCAACTCAACTTTCGGTACAATTTGCGAGCGCTCTTAATACCTGAAATCGGATCAATTTGTAATTGAAGTTAAATATTTATTCCATTATAGGTTCATTAATCTACTTAAAAACACCATTCAGGTACAGTAAATCTCTATGATTTATGTCACTTCTTACATTAAAAGAAAAGGGAGTCGACAAATTTTATCATTACTATATTTTAAAAGATGCACATTTAACATGTTTACAAAATAGTGCGTAGTAAAAGTGACACTTTATTTTGTGGCTACTGTTGCCTTTCCTGGCCAGTGGTGTATGGGTTTTGCCGAGTGCATCCAAACTGGTGCTTCTGGATTTGCCCCAGGCTTTGTTGATCTGATTTCCATGCTTGAGAGGTTATTTCCTGCGTCACATCTCCAATGGTTCGGACCTTAGAGTGTCCTTGACTGGTATTGAGCTTAAGTCTTTTATGTACTATTTCACAAGGCATTGAAAAAGAGCAGTATAATGTAGATGAAAATTGAAAAGGATTTAATTGTAAAAGTACCTACTGGCTGCCCCTTTATATACTTTTTATCGTTATACTCAGTCTTATCTGGATTCGTGGAAGTCTGTTTCAATCTCTGCGTCATAGCAGGCTTCTACTTTATTGTTGCTTGCAACAGTGCTTCGTGGATCACGTACTGCACTTGCATATCTACTCCAGGTGCATGTCTCATTGTCTGCAAAGTACCCAAGAAAGTTGGTGGCAAGGAAGAGTTGATGTTAAACGGTCCTTAGGAAAAACAAAGTACTTTATGTTATACTAACCTTTCTGAAGGCCAGTCTGTTTCAGATATTGGACTCTCATTCCCTGAGACACTGTGGGATCCTCATGATCAACAGCCTGGAGAAACATCTTGGTCCTCAGCAAGTCATCTGACACATGCTTTATCACCTCCATCCATGCCTGGAGGCCACACTCACCCTTCATCGAAACAGCCACTTTGTCAAATTCTGCCAATTTTAAAAGTTTAATTAGTGATTTATTGCATAATTTCTGTCAAAGTGTTGCAAACTGTGCAGTGTAACCTGAAATTAAATGAAATAATTAAAATAAACAGGGAATAATAGTATCAGTGCTCTATTTCACAAAAGCCAGAAAAGGGTGAATAAAGTGTGCCAAAGACAGGTTTGGGAGGAGGTGGAGGCAAGGACTTATGCCTTATCATTCTTGCTTGTTTTGTTGTGGGATAAGAGTTATCATCCAAGTCCAGAGCCGTGTACTGCTGTTCATGTGGACCATGTTTGCTCTACTTAGGGGTTCCATACCCCTAAGTACCATACTAAATGGATTTGCATTTAGTCTTTCTCCTCTACCCCTTTCCCCCCTCCTCTCTATTGTTTGGTACACTTCTGTTATTTACATTAATCCACTCGTTTCATATTTTTCAGGCAGTATTGGCGCCACTGGCTTCCTGGTTTTGAATATTTTGATAAAGCCCACGGGGCCACAAATCCTGCTCGGTACCTCATTATTCTAATGTGTTTCTCAGTCTCTTGTGTCTCCTTATTTACAATAATTACCTGTAGGATCTATTCTCTTTCAAGTCATTCTCTTGCCTCTTGTCTTTCCCACTGGCTCCAGTAACTAGTACAGTATATGATAATTGCTTTTTGGCTCAACATCTCTAGCGTGATATTCACTTCCACCATACTTAGATCATGCCAGGAGTGAATTCTGGGAGTTGCTCTACGCCCTAAACCCAGCCTGGGGCCAGGTTTGACTTGAGACAACTTGCTTCACGTTTTGGAGGGTAGAAATAGCCTTCACTACTCTATTCTTTTGAGATGTATCTTATTGTCTCGGTAAACATACTGTACTTGAATTGCCTCATGTTCATGTATTAGAGGATAGCTTCTCGAGATGATTTCGGGGCTTTAGTGTCCCCGCGGCCCGGTCCTCGACCAGGCCTCCACCCCCCAGGAAGCAGCCCGTGACAGCTGACTAACACCCAAGTACCTATTTTACTGCTAGGTAACAGGGGCATAGGGTGAAAGAAACTCTACCCATTGTTTCTCGCCGGCGCCCGGGATCGAACCTGGGACCACAAGTCCAACGTGCTGTCCACTCGGCCGACCGGCTCCCTTTTGATTACCATCCTCAACTATTAACTGCTGCTGCAAAGGGTTTTGTCTGTTTAGTCCTTCTGCTGAGTTTATTATCTCTTCTATTTTCCTCACCTTCTGCTCTATTCCTCTAGTTACCTGCTCCTATTCCTGTGTATACCTGTCTCCATAGAGCTCGTGTACCTGGTACTTTTACACCTCGACTAGCTCTCTTTACCATATACAAATGTGAGTGAACCTGTTCATTATAGCTCACTGTTCAAGTGTGAGAAAAGCTGTTCATTCCAATTCACCATATATAAAGTGAGGATACAAGAGCAAGATGATGGGCATTACTATCATAAATTACTACTATTGATCCAACATATTTGTGTGAAGAGGCACATATTGATAAGATAGAAAAAGACTTTTTTAGTAAATTATTAGTGTTTTAAATACCTTCCATCATCTCTTTATTAACCAATGTTCTGGTGATGAGTTGCACAAATTTCAACCGCAAATGGGCTACTTCTGGGTGACATTTTAGAGCCTCTTCTAAAACGGACTGCATCTCACCGACTGGTCGGGACATCTCACACAATACCTGAGACTGAGGAAAGGAAGTTATACTAGTTATGGTGAAGCCTCTCTAATAATATTCACACCAGTTATATAATACCAATCAATGCAAGCTTAAAAATTTTAAAAATAATTAAATCTAACTTACTTTACAAGCCTATACATAGCTCTTGAGGTCTCACTATACTAATTAAATTTAAGCTAGTCATTCCAATGCTCTCAGAGGTATTTCTAGTCTATGTTCCGAACATGCAATGCAACCCGAGTCAGGCCAGAGTACATATGGCACTGATACCACAGGTTATATATACGAAGCTCTGAAGAAAAATAATTCATACATTAGAATAGACAGAGGCACTGTGGTATTTTTGCAAACTTAATTACAAGTCTGTGATAGTACACTCATGGCTGCCAATAGGAACCTCGTAAAAACCTAAAAACCAATCTTAACTTCCCCAACTGCCACCAATAGGTTATCTTGAGGTTATCTTGAGATGATTTCGGGGCTTAGCGTCCCCGCGGCCCGGTCCTCGACCAGGCCTCCACCCCCAGGAAGCAGCCCGTGACAGCTGACTAACTCCCAGGTACCTATTTTACTGCTAGGTAACAGGGGCATAGGGTGAAAGAAACTCTGCTCATTGTTTCTCGCCAGCGCCTAGGATCGAACCCAGGACCACAGGATCACAAGTCCAGCGTGCTATCCGCTCGGCCGACCGGCTCCCTGTCACAGGTGGCAACACCTGTGACTCAGATTGTTTCTACCTGCAACTACCTAACATATATCATGACTGCTCTATGCATCAATTGACAAAAAAGAAAAAGGAGACCATTTTTTTAGCAAGTTGACCCTCATGTTCCAAGTTTTGGTGCTATGTGGGTCTGCCTGAAATATTTCAGTTTGCTAAGTGTGTCTAGTTTCCTAGGTAGGTCAGACCCAGGTCATCTCGAGTGCCACTGAACCGTTTTGGCTAGTTTTCTCAGCTGTTTCCCAATCATGTATATTGGATGGTGTCCAGCAGAAGACAGTTCCTTGGCTGGAAGGAGACCGATTCCTGGGCTCTTGTATGGTGTTGCCTACAAGGTTTCTATGGCTTCAGGGTGATTCTCACTCACCCAGCATATCTCTTACCAGAACTGCTAGCGTGATCAACATGGTGACCCTCAGGCTGCAAGTATGTACTTGGGGATCAACTGCTGATATAAGACAGTTAGATCACACGTTTATTTCCTATCATTGGTTCAACACAAAGCAAACCACCTTGTACATCCCTTGGGTGATCTGAGCTGCCACCTGGTGATGTGCTTGGATACTAACACATTATTTGCCAACACTAAACAAGCTATTGCTCTCCTTGTTTCCGTTTTCTCTCTTGTCAAAATACATGGTTAGTTTCGCTTCACTTTTTGGGCAGTTTACTCATTAATGAGGTTGATTTCTATGCTCCCCTCACCTCTATGAGTACACAAGGGTCTAGCTCCAGTGTTTGGTAGGCCTGCACAAGTCCAAAAGCCTGACAGATTTGCCGATGTGCCTATGACACCGGATCAAATTGGGAAGCTTCCAAGTTTTAGTTTCAGGTGGACCCCCATCAAATTAAATCCACACACTAAGGGTTAATTGTAATTTAACACACACGCCACTAATAATATGAGGGGATACTGATAGCAGCTAGCTGAGGATATAATATTCTTTCCTTAGAGAGTAGCAATAATAGTGCTGGATGGAAATTAATCTGGGTGGACCAGCCATTTGCCATTATATATATAGCCATTTTATATATATATAGTCCAGGTTTATAGCCCATGTAGATGATACATACAATATTGCCCAACTAGATTAACATAGAACATTGTGTATAGCTGTTCGTGAAGGAAAGATGCCTGTGGCAAGTTTTACAATGTATATGGTTGGAGATGCTAGAATCACAGTGGAAGTCTTCAAAAGGCAACTGGGCAAGTTTCTGCTGGAGTTATAGATCTGCTTGACTGTGATGGCTAGTTTGACCAGACCACACACTAGAAGGTGAAAAGACGACGACGTTTTGGTCCGTCCTGGACCATTCTCAAGTCGATTGTGGCTATGTGGGTCTTCAGTCTATAAAGACAATCTCACATACCAGGCTATCACCAGGAAAGGCTGGCCAGGTTAAAGGGGCAGAAGAACTCTTGAAATACCCAACACATAATAAACAGGTGAAGATTTAAATACTGTATAACAGGTTCACCTAGGGGCCTAGGTGTCCATGTGAGACCACCCATGATTTACCTCAATTCTAAAGAAAAACATCTTACCCATATAAAGAAAATGAGCGGAGATAACACACTTGTATGTGCCTCACACAAACTGATCAGCTTCTTGAATATCAGGTCAGCCATGGTTGTCTCGCCCCAACACTGGTACAGCAGAGGGAGAAGCTCGGCACAGTAGGTATTTACAAACGTTCCTCCAATTACTTGTATGGCTTCATCAAATGTAGACATGATACATTCCAACTGTTGAGGAAGATATTTTGATGGATAAGTTGTCTATATAAAATTATGATGGGAATCAATCCCTTATACTGTTTAAACTCAAACCAGCAGATCAGAGCAATCTATTTTTCACTTATTAAAACTTATTTGCCACTTTTTACTTATCCTTACTTAAATTTACTCCTTTTTTTATTTTACAAGTACAAGAAAGAACTCTGCATTCATTGAAAGGGCAGTGTGGAGGTGGACAAGGTGAGACACACGACTCAATGGCACTGCAGTGTGTACAAAGTGAAAAAAAATTGCCCTTCCCCCCCCCTCCCTCCACATCAATGCTGCTTACGATGAACAAGGCCAAATATTCTACTATGTAGATTGAATTCTATAAAATGGCACATTCCACACACGTTTACTAACCTTCTCCACTGCCTCTAAACTTCTTGGCAGTATGACATCCATAACTTTGTTATCTATGACATTTTTCTCTTCTGAAGCTTCCGAATCCTTCTCCTCACTATCCGAAAGGTCTTCAGTCCTTATCTTGGTTTCCTCACTACCATTTTCCATTTCCGCTTCCTTATCTTCACTTACTTTACCAGATATGCTGTCACTCTTTTCCCCATCACTCTTCATTTCTGGCAAGCCTAACGCCTTTCTTTGAGCTCTGAGCTTCCATACACCATCAGCATTTGTGAATTTATCAGAAAGATCTCTGAAATCAAAATATTAATTGCCAATCAATAATAACATCAAAAAGTAAAGAAATCTGCAGAGAGCGTATCAGCTCATAAGTACCTATAATTACTGCTGTTACAAGCAGATACAGTAATGATGTGTGGTTGATTGGAATTAGTCAAATGCTAGATTTAATGAGGAGAGTAGAAATAGCCTACGCTACTCGATCCTTCCGAGATGTATTTTATTGTCTCGATAAACATACAGTACTTGAACTTGAATATTTAATGTGTTTTAAATTCTAACTCCCAAGCACTTTCCACCTGGTTGTGTGAATTTGAGGTGCTACTCTGGATATATTTCTAGTGTGACGGTGCTGGTTCCAATGCTAGACTACAGAATTTCTTCCAGGGTTATGTTTCCCACTCATGAAACTGAAAAACAGGGTAGCGATGATGCTGCTGCTGCTATTTAAATAACATAAGGATTCCCAAGCTATTTCAAATAAAATGTTTCCTAAAAATATGCAAAATTGTGGGCAGCCAAATCTAAAAGCCTGGTTGAGCAGACCATCAACCAGGAGGCCCTGTTAGAGACCAGACCTCATAGACACTGATCCTCAAAACCACCTTTTTACTAGAATTTCTAGTAAAGTAAAGATTAGGTAAACTAGAATTTTTGTACATGCTCTTGTTAAATTCAATATTTTCCTATTAAGTACTGTACTGCATAGTGGAACCTTACTCAAACAGATCGTTGTAAACTAAAACCCTTCGTGGGAAGGAAAAAACTGGCTAATAGACAAATTCTTGGTAAACCAGAATATTGTATCTGCCCCACCAAGCTGAGAAAACACTCATATTTCACTTCTTACTGCTACAAAGTATTTAACTTCAATATTTAATAGAGCAAAAGCCTAGTGGACCAAACTCTCAAGTCAAGCTTGGCCTCGGGCCGGGCTTTTGGAGTAGAACTCCCAGAACCCCATCAACCAGGTATCAACCAGTTAATATTTCAATTAACTCTCACATATAAGAGAGTTTGTGTGACTTTCTGTGGTAAATATAGCCCTATGGTAACTGATTGTGTCTTGTCCATGTGTTTTCTGTGATAAGTGTAGCAGTACTTCTCAGTACAGCACTTGAAAATTTTTAGCTTCATAGCTGCTTGTATGCCAGCTTGGCCAAATATGCCAGCTCACCACCTAGTAGATCATTAATGCCTATCCAGGGCATAAGGAAAAAAGAACGACACATGATTGGTATGGCAGCAATACCAGTGTTTGAACAGAACACAAAACAAAATAATTTACATAATTGTAAAAACTGACAAAACAAGATTTCAGATACAAAACACAGCTTACCTGTAAATTTCATCTCGCAGAGTGTGGGCATACTCAAACTTATCAGCTACCTGGTAGAGTTCCAAATACAGTTCCGGGTCAGGGAGAGAAGAAACAGCATCTTTGTATACTGCCTTGGCAACGGCACAGTTCAACACCTGAGTCCAGCATAAACAAAAATATATTTATAACCAAGAAACATTGCTGATTTTAACATTTTCACTACTAGAAAATATCTTCTGGTAGTGGATATTAACCATTGAAATGCACCTATCATCGTAAGAAGGTCAATCCTTGTGCACATAGCATCCAAAGATGTTTTAGATACAGTACTTTGCAACATCTGAAATCCTACAGGATACACAAGAGTTCCTAAACAGTGTTTGAAGGCATCAATAAACATCTTGAAAAGCCTTAATTTTTTTGTTACATTTTCCTATGCTCAGTGCATGGTTTTTATTAATATATGAAGAGAAAAACTTTATTTTAATTATTTTCTTTTGAGCACATAGAAAATGCTTGATTTATCCTATGTGCATTTTAAGGGTTAATTGAGCATTAGATATATCTAATAAAATCAGCATTAATTAGGTAGCAATGAAGACCTATAACATAATCATTTCACAAGTTAAATCAATAGTTTACAAAACAGACGCTAAACTGCTGTAAATGTATTGAATATAATGTTTATTGAATAAAGTGAGAAAATGAGCATGTACTGTAGTTATGTATGAAAGTGAAGTGTTAGCAACCAAGGTCAAATGCATCAAGAAAGTTTAGAATGGTGAAATAAAAAGATAAATTGAGTCAATGAAGAATAAAGAAAGTTGCAAAGAAAATCACTAATATACCTTTTCACGGTTCTCTGCGATGATTTCCTCCAAGCCAGCAATGTTGTCATTCTTCAGTTTATTCATAAGAAACTCAACATATAACAGCTCAAGACGAAACAGCTAGAACAAAATTTAGTCTATAATTAAAAAAGCATCCTCCTTTATCAGAAGTTCGCATCCAATATACAGTATACAGTACAGTAATTTAATTTAAAACAGTCTAAGATTGCATACGCACAATTACACCTACATTAAGTTCAGTGTATATTTGTGTATGAAAATTAGTATGGAACATGCCACCAGTGTAATTTTACTGAAATAGGAATAAGATACAGTATACAATATGCAATAAATATAAAAAGAAAGCACAAAGGTAAATGAAAACTTTGAATTACAAATCTTACCTCCCTTTTAATAAGCCGTGACTTGGGGTGGTGTAGAGAAGCTTTAGAGAGCAGAATTGTTCTTGCTTTATCAAAATTCTGCCTTTCTTCAATTTCCCACTTTGCCCAAGCCACCCATACATTTTCTTGATTGCTATGGTAGCGAATTTGTTCTGCAAATGTACTGCTAATCTGGAAGAATAATTGCATATGCTTCTTTAAATCTTGAAATACCGAACCATAATAAAACTGCAAAATGTATACTACTATTCATACTTTTATATTGTAAGAGTCATACAAATACAGCGAAGACACAAGAAAGTGAAACTGACATGTGTTTACTGTACCCCATGACAGGGCAGGGCAAGTCTAAAAAATTTATGGATAAAGGGGCCACTGTGTAATTCCTTCAAGGAGATGACATACACAATCCCAGTGTGTGCATAGTAACAGCGCTTTTCCAAGGCCTTACCCCCCCAGGACCAAGTCTCAAAAAGTACAGCCAAGGCAGTGGTCCACTGAAGAAGAGCAAAATCAAGTTACCACACAGTCATGGTCAGAGATAACTGGTGTCCTCGGCCTTTAATACAGTACGGTAATCAGTACCTTAGTGTGCTGGATAATAACCATCAAACTAACCTAGCCAGGGAAAATACAAAAATAGTAGTCCTTGAGAGGAGAAAACTTTCACAAAAACTGCACGTATCAAAGAATAAATGGAAAAGCCAGACTCAAAATACTGGTAACAACACCATGAAGCAAACTAAGCAATATACATACTGCACTGAATAAAGACGCCTCAAGGAAAGTTCAGTAAGAATACCAATAAAATGAATTAATCTCTGCTGACCCAGACATCCATATAGAACCATGAAAAGCCAGGCTGAAACCGAGGTTGGCTTCCCAGTAGTGGTGTAATTGTGCTGCCATCTAGGGGTGTTCAAGTCACAGGTAATTCAGTAGTGATAGTTTTTAAGATGATAACTGGCTGTCCTGGTGATCCCAATTATCGTATGAAGGAGATATCGAGTGATTTGTTTTCACTTCTTTGCATTATTGACGACAGACTACTCTCTTGCAGCTCACCTCTCCAGTCACATGGCAAGATGTTTGTAAAGACACTTGCCATTACTGGGTGAAGATAACAAGAAGGCCTGTTTTCTGTAGTGACCAAGTTGGACTCTGACTGTAAGCCAATAGAGCAACAGGGGGCTAGCTGAGAAATGGATTTTTTGTTATAAAATAAAATTTGCTACTAAAACAATAGGAAATATTCAAAATATATTAAATATAAATACAAAAACTAAACAAATCCTGCCAGAAATAACTATAGTATCGGTGCAGCTTTCACATCAAATGCTTATATGAAATCCCGATCAAATTCTGGAAGGGGGATTCGGTAAGTGATTAGTTCGATATTTAAAGAGTTACATTATAAATAGATCTAGATATTGAAGGTTACACTGTATATGTTTATATTTTTTTACATACCTCTTCCTTCCACCCAATGAACTGGGCAAAACAAATCCTAAGTTTCCAGGTATCAAGATGTGATGGCCAAACACGGGTCACGTAACGTAATTGTCTAATCACTCTTTTTGATATGGCAGTTTCAATTTGCTTGCGCTTCTCATGTATTCCAATTTGCTGGGAAAAGAAAGAGAATGGACTGAACATAGTAATGTACAGAAATTACCATATACTTTTATACAATTATTGTCATTTGTATTATCACACACATCCCTGGTATAACATAGTATCTAAACAAAATTTTTAATAAACACTATAATACACAAACAAATCAAAAGCGAGATCTCTACCTTCCGCCTGATTCTGATCAATTCAATAAGTTTTCTCTCATAATTTATATAATTAAAAAAATCAGACTTGTTTTTTGACCTTCGGGCAAGGCGATACTGGAAGTCCCTCCTCTTCTGAATAAGCTTTCTGTAGAAGAAAAAATTGTTAATTCTCAAACCAATACTGGATCCTCCTAGGCATACATATGACTCGGATATTGCTGCTAGTGAGAACAGCACATTTATGAAACATATTGAACACAACATTTCTGGTAAAATTACTGTACAGCCATTGTAGGGTAGAGGGAAATAATTGCATTTATAAATACAGTACTGTATACTATAATAGTAATAATTAAAGTTGAAAATTATTATTTCATGTAAGAAAGAAATGAAGATGAAATCTATGAAAGTAAGGGTTACCTATATTATCAACTGGCATCCTATTCCCATCAAGTCAACTAGATATAGTCACCTCAGGTAAATTCAGATTAAAAAGCTGTTGATCTATACTGTACAGTACTGAAAATGTTAAACTATTCAAATACCGTATATTTAATGCTTATACAACAGATATTAATACTGTATTAGAATTAATAGCCAAGATGAGTGAATTAAAATACTCTAATAGAAAATAATTTATAAATAACAACACATTTATTGAGTATCTTAGTTACGACAAACAGTTTGTCTTGTAATGTAATCATAAAATATAAAACATCTGCATTAAGCCTTAGGCTTAAACAATATACATTACAGTACTTTTTAATCATAAGTAATGGAAGAAAGCAGGTTAGGCAATACAGTATATCCCCACACCCCAATGCCAGAATATCTCATGGTGCAAATAATAAAGAGGGGTTAAGAATTCATATTTTATACTAACAGGGGTAAATTTTATGACAGCATTCAGTACCTGAATTTATCCGAAGGCCATCATCTCTCTAGTGGCTTCGATGGGGACAGGAAGCTGGTAGCATGTCAAAGGACCCCCCCTTCCCTCATTTTTTCCAATGATTCTTTTCAGTACCATGTCAATTCACTTGCTTCAAAAGAACTTTTGACATACTAAGCCCATCCACGTCCTATTAGGCTATTCTACAAGTTTCACAAGACTTTTTGTTGGACAGGAAGATTATTAGGTTCATCATGGATCCTCCTAGCCAAGGAAAAAGCTGCCCAATCACCCATTCAGTTACTGGCTAGACTGAACAGTGCCTATCCTGATTGACAAGGTGATCCTGGCATTGTCCACTGTGCCACATATTTATCTATTTATTTATGCATATACAAGAAGGTACATTGGGAATGTGAGGATACATAATATGGTAATTACAATCTTGTAAAGCCACTAGTACGCGCAGCGTTTCGGGCAGAACATGCAACAATATATATAAAATACAGTAATTACCAAAAAGCCAACACATGATCATTTAGGGCTTGTATCTGGTTGATTAGACTGCTACTGTGGCAGTAACCATGGGCACAAATCTTTTGCCCACCACTGTGATAATGTATTTAGATACAGAAAATCTCATCTGTTGTAAAAAGAATGAAAAAAAATGTGGAATTCAAAACGGTTCTCTAATGAAAGCAGACTACCACCCAAGCATTCTTGTCCTGTTTTCTCTCAGTCTGAACAGGCCATATCTGTCCATGTGCAGGCGATGAGTCACAATAACGTGGCTGAAGTATGTTGACCAATCCACACAATCGACTCGAGAATGGTCCAGGACAGACCGAAACGTCGTCGTCCCTTCATTTTCTAGAGTGTGCATTGGTCAACATCTCTGTCCATCTTACCTATTCCCCCTCAGTATCTTATCCCCAAACCTGCATTTGTATAGTTTTCAGGCCAAATACATTACAGTATGTATGAATGTAAGTGTATATCTATATGCCTGAAACCAAACAGCACAGAACAATTAGCCTGTAAGCTGTATAGGTTACTAATAATGTAAGAATAGGTTACATTATTTTTCTCTAGGTTTTACATATTATATATATATATATATATATATATATATATATATATATATATATATATATATATATATACACAGTACTGTGAATTGAATACAATAATATGGCTTACAATAATAAAACAACTTATCATCCCGATTAATTGCAGCAGTAGCTTTATTGAATTAAAATATACACTTCGTACAGTACATAGCAACTCGATGCCACTATATTATGAAATATTACAAAATATTATGTGCTTAGTTTAACTAAACTGTTGCATACACAAGTCCATTCAACTGTCCAATTATGTAAACAAGTCCATTTAAACAATCGTGTTGCGTACTCGAGTCCAAACATTAAATAAATATGAAGTTGACATAATAAAAGCCGTGATGCCGTTGTGACTCACTTCACTTCCTTTGGTGCTAAGAGACCGATCCGCTCCATCTCCTCCATCTCGGGAATGGTTTCTTCAATGCGCTGTTCGACAAATTCTGCCATTTTGTGTAGTTAGGTGGGGTTACAAGGAGTACAGGAGACAGGTGGGTGTTACAAGGAGTACAGAAGAAGACAGGTGGGAGTTACAAGTACAGGAGTTAACTGAGTTACAAGGAGTACAGGAGAGTTAACTGAGTTACAAGGAGTACAGGAGAGTTAACTGAGAGCTACAAGGAGTACAGGAGAGTTAACTGAGAGTTACAAGAAGTACAAGAGAGTTAACTGAGAGTTACAAGGAGTACAGGAGAGTTAACTGAGAGTTACAAGGAGTACAGGAGAGTTAACTGAGAGTTACAAGGAGTACAGGAGAGTTACAAGGAGCACAGGAGAGTTAACTGAGTTACAAGGAGTACAGGAGAGTTAACTGAGAGTTACAAGGAGTACAGGAGTTAACTGAGAGTTACAAGGAGTACAGGAGTTAACTGAGAGTTACAAGGAGTACAGGAGAGTTACAAGGAGCACAGGAGAGTTAACTGAGAGTTACAATGAGTACAGGATGTAGGTGTTGTTGTTGATGTAGAGGCGACAGGAGGCAAGTGGACCTTAGCTTGGCTATGGTCACACTGCTGCCAACTCAAGAGGAGAATTGTGGGCTAATAAATATAATACTAATAACACCTCGCATAAGATTATATTATGTTATCCTTTATTTTGTTATTAATTTTGCGTTATGTGATGTGTGGAAAGTTTATTACCGCGTCATTATAAATGTTAGATTAGTGCAGTATAACAAGAGTGTATTTGTCTCTATGTGGCATCAATGTCTTCCATGTAAACTTTACGTTCATATTTGACTTATCTAAAGTTAATATTTATTTATTTTAGAAAATATTATTTATTTTTGTCATACATCGAAACAAATATTGATTTATTGCATTTTAACTGATTAGTGATAATTAGGCTTTGTGGTGAGTTAGCAGACCACGTGGGTTTGTTTACACTCACACAGCTGAGCAGTGTTGCCAGATTAGGCTACAAGTAGCACATTGGGCTATAAATAGCTAATTGGGCTAATTTTGAAAGCCCGGCGCTCCTAAGTTTTTAATTTCGCTACTTGCGACTTTTTGGGCTAATTAAAAAATAGGTTGGGCTAATTTAAAGATAGGTTGGGCTAATTTAAAGATAGGTTGGGCTAATTTAAAAATAGGTTGGGCTACTTTGGGCTACTAATCGAAACTCATCGAGTGATTATTTATGCTTTTATAATGTAATGTGGACAAATCACAGCCTGATTGACCAGGGGCCAGATTCACGAAGGTACTTACGAAGGTTTTTCTACTTAGCTACGAATGTTTTCCTTCTTATAGCGCCTTCGTGGCGGCTACGTCGGTATTCAGGTAGGGGTCCAAGACCTCTTCCTGTTACACAACTTTGGTGTGGAACAAGTAATTATCAAAAGAAGGCATCATGCAGGGAAGGCTATGTAGCAGTAAGACAGTGAGGTGAGGCAGCTACATATTTGAGAAATGCTTATTTTATTTACCTTATAAGCTGAGGCAGCTTATTTTATTTGAGGAATACTCAGCTGATTCCTCTACATTTAGCATGGAACAAATTTGTGTCCAAGACTTCTTCCTGTTATACAATTTGGCTGTGTGTAACCAAACTAGAAGTGCTCTACAAATCAAGGGACTCAGAATGTGGAATGACCTCCCGAATCATGTCAAAGGCTGTACCTCTCTCAATCAGTTTAAGAGTAAAACTAAGTACTACCTAATTAACTCCATGTAACCTACTTTACTCCCTAAATGTCAACCCATGTCTTGCTATTTTTTAAACAATGCTGTTCACCATCGTGTACAGCTGAGATCTGCTATGTTACCCCCCTTTTTTATTTTTCATTCCTTCTTTCAACACAATTTATACCTAATCCCGATTACTATTAAGTTTTAGTCTAAGTGTTTTTTCCCCACACCTTGGCCGACATGCTATGAGTATTAGTGGCTTTAGGTATTGTATGTACTAGCTCTGTCTGTAAATCCAACATTATGTTTGTAAATCAACTGTATGTACTTTTCCTTGATAAACATTATTTATTATTATTTATTTATTAATCAGTAAGTATTAAAAGAAGGCACCAAGCTGGGAAGGCTATGTAGCACCATTGTGTGTAACAATAAACCAAATTTTTTTTAACAAATAATGCACCTGTATGGTAAAACAAATCCCGTCAGCTGTAAAAATATTGATGCAGTTATTTAAATAAAAAATATAATGAAAGAAATATTATTGGTTTATTTTTATCCTATCTTTTTGTACTGTACAGTATATCCAAGGAAGTGAAAAATTGAAACATAATGCACAATTTTCTGAGGTTGGAAGAAAACGCAGAAGTTTTGTTCACCCTATGCCCCTGTTACCTAGCAGTAAAATAGGTACCTGGGTGTTAGTCAGCTGTCACGGGCTGCTTCCTGGGGGTGGAGGCCTTGTCGAGGACCGGGCCGTGGGGACACTAAAGCCCCGAAATCATCTCAAGATAATCTCAAGAAGATCACAGCAATGTGCTGCTACCCTATTCTATATGGAATATTACAGTGTAGATAAAAAACTAGCTATAAGTTTATCTAATACTCCCATCTCACAGGAGTGTTAGACATACCTCTAATTACTCAACACAAAGCTGCTATTAGGACAATATCCAATTCTGGCCCCAGACATCACTCGGTACCCCTACTTAAATCTCTGAATATGTTAGACATTAAGTCACTGCACATTCTCTCATGTGTATTATACATATATAAAACACTAAACTATAATGCCAATCCTGATCTCAAAAGCTTCATAGAAGGTTGTATCAGAACCCATGAGCATCACACCAGAAATAAATACAGTTTTGATATTCCTAGAGTACGACTTAATCAAACTAGAAATGCTCTACAAATCAAGGGGCCCAGAATGTGGAATGACCTTCCCAACCATGTTAAAGACTGTACCTCTCTCAACCAGTTTAAGTTAAAAGGGAAGCTATACCTAATAAATTCCCTGTAACCTACCTTACCCTTCTATTGTCAACCAATGTCTGTTTTTTTCTTTAAAGAGCGCTGTTTGTCGACATAATTGTATTTGTGCTGCTTTTTCATCTATGTTTTCATTTCTTGTTTTCATTCTACTCATTATGCTCAATTAGTATTAAGCTTGTCATTTAAGTTTATCATGCCCGAAACGCTTTGCGTAATAGTGGCTTTAGGCATTGTATGTACTAGCTATACCTATAAGTTAAACAATCCTTGTAAATATTTATTGTATGTATGTACCTTACCTAAATAAAATTGTATTGTATTGTATTGTATACATGGAATCAAGGTAGAAAACACCAGCCTCAATGCAAAGAACAAATCAACTCTGACTAAACAACTCTTCACGATTTTCACAAGAGATAAGCACTGAATCATGGAAACATTATATTATAATTACTCTTACCAGTTTCTACAAGACTCCTCTCAAACAATGTATTTTTTAACATGTTTAGGTATACACAGCAATGTGCTGTTTCCTTATTCTGTATAAAGGACCACACAGTGAAGATCAAAAACCAGCTACAAGCTCATCCAACATCCTCACCTCACAGGATGGCCGGTCATACATGGAATCCGGAGAGAACAAAATATTTAATGCTGATCTATTAGCCTCCACTGGCAAAATCTGGGTGCAGCACAAGAATCTCTTCCAATATTCCTGAGTGTATAAAGTAATTACAGAGCTCAAAATACCTCATACCATTTGGTATGAAGTCACTGATAACAGGGCAATCACAGATATAGTGTTGGAGAGTATGTTCTCTCAAGTAGAACTGAAAACAGATGTTTTTTTCCATCAAGAGGGTTATAAACCCATGGAACCGCCTACCCGCTGAAGCTGTAAATGCTAAATTTACGCTTAACTTTACCCATGAACTAGGCATCGATGGTACACACCCTTTCCTCCATGTCTACGTGAGAACCTAAAACAACTTTCACCACAGAAGATTATACTAAACCCACCAACACTGGAATGTGTATGAATGGTCAGACAGATATAAGAATAGTGTATTAAACGCAATTATACTCAGAGCCCTTACTCATTATTCTGACTGGTATAAAATCTACAAGGAACTGGAGAGAAGCCTTCAAGTATTAGAGACACAAATTGAGAAGTCATCACCCATATCAGAAGATATTTAGAAAAATTGTATAACACGCTTTCCACAAAACTATTACAAAATCCACTATGAGTTCTTTTTAATGGCAAAATTTAGCCGTTTTGTGTAACAACTGTTATAATCTCATTCTTTTAATAGTCATAGTAACCGAAATATTCATATTTTTTATATAGAAGAGATGAAAGAGAAAGTCATAAGGTAGATCTGTGTGTCGCTCCTGAAGACGTCAGTAAGGAGACGAACTTTTAGCAAATACCTTCCTGTGATTGGTTGTTGCTGGGAATGCCAACACTCTTTCTATAATTAAATTTAAACTAAGAAATACGTCTTTTTGCACAACAATATCTTTATTTCAAACACAACCTGTTCGTTTTGTACAAGACAGACATTTCCATCTAAGTGAATAATTTAGTCCAATAAGAGAACGGAGCATTGTATCATTAATATTATTCGCGTCAGGCAACCCCCACTGATGACGTCACAAGCTAGGTAGCCAGCCCATGTTTCTGTAACACTCATTACATCCTGCAGTATTTATTTATCACTTTATTAATGCTTTTAAATACTTAACCCTTAACTTTTTAGGTAGATTAAAGTTGAAGCAGAATGTCATAAGCAAGGATGGTGTGCTGAATAAAGATGATTTATTAAGTGGATGGAGCCTTTAGCTGATCCCTTCCTGTGATTGGCTGTTGTGTCAATGTCAACAAAGAATATCTACCAATGATATGCCATTTAGTATGCACCCCATACCATCTGTGGGCGGAGCTAGGAACCTCCTACCCGAGCGCAACAACCCGCCTTATGGGTTGCTGTTTGACTATTTATAGTGCGTTGGAAAAAAAAGAGATGGCGCTAGTTGTATTTTGTGGGGTAATTTGTTATAAGTGTAATTTGATGTCAACAGATGGCGTAAGCTGTATCTTATGGCCACTATTGACCTGCCAGTTGATAGTGTTCTCTTCTGCCGACAGATGGCATCAGCTGTATCATTATTACTTCCGAATTCCTTTTAAACACTGATCCACAAATCCCGTAGCTTATGATAAGGTTTTATACTATTCTGGTATTAGATAACAATTAATTTTCTTTTATCTACTGTTGAGAATATCATTATATAACGTCTGCTTAGGATGTACTGTTCTCTGTTGAGATGGCCGTAATATTATTAAAACAACAAATGATGCATAAAATAACAGCAATTTTTGCTCAGGGGGAAAAAGACACCAACAGTTTGGGGGCTTATTTATTACATAGTAGACGGTAAATTATATTCTGCAGAACATGTTAATATATATAAGTAGGAACAAATGTAACATATCCATGTCTACTGAGTACTAATATTTAAGTTAAAATGTACACCCTTATTAAGAGAGTAAGCTTAGCCTAGTGACATGGTAAACACGTTCTGCAGAAACCTAATGTC